AGTATTACAAGACAACTTAGGGGGGTATTACAGGATAACTTGGGGGAGTATTACAAAATACCTTGAGGGGATATGGAAAGATAACTTGGGGAGTATTAAAAAATAACTTGGGGGATATTACAAGATAACTTGAGGAGTATTACAAAATAATTTGATTTCTAAAGCTATTTTCAGATTTGTCTATGGTGGGGCAAGAGAGGATAAGAGGTACCATTTGGGGCAATTATTCATCAATTCATTTATTTATCAATAAAAAAAATAAATAAAAAGATTAAAAATTGTTTATTCAGCTCTTTGTCTCTTTATTTTACCATTGATTAATCTTTTAACTACTTATTTGTGCCTTCCTGAAGACAAGATAATTAAACCAGGACAAATCCGCTGTGGAGAACACACTGATTATGGATCAATAACTCTCCTCTTTCAAGATAACATGCCGGTACTTGAGGTATCATTACTATTACTTCTTATACCTAATTTGATTTCTAAAGCTATTTTCAGATTTGTCTATGGTGGGGCAAGAGAGGGTAAGAGGTACCATTTGGGGCAATTATTCATCAATTCGTTTATTTATCAATAAAATAAATAAATAAAAAGATTAAAAATTGTTTATTCAGCTCCTTGTCTCTTTATTTTACCATCGATTAATCTTTTAACTACTTATTTGTGTATTTATTTCTACAAATTTTTATTTACTTCTTTCAAATCAGATCACAAGTCCTCTCAAAGAGGGCCACTTTCGTTTTCTACCTTAGTACTAGACTTTTGCTGCCTTCCTTAACTTCTTTACTCCTTGGGGTGATTAGCATCTATTTTCTCCTCACAATAGTATCTCAGATTTACACATTAAGACCATGAGAATCAAGAAAATGATCACCAATAAAAGAAGCTGTTGATTGTAACTCAAATTCTCCTTGTCGGCACCTTGAAAAATGTAAGGAGAACAGTGTGGAGAAAACGCATGTTAATGTCTAAAGACTGTCGTCCATAAAGGCTCACGCCATCCTTACAGAACTCACTGTAGCAGAGGATATTTTAACCCTTTAACTCCCACGATCTCATCAGTAATTCTTCTTACTGTCTGCCAACTGATTCTCATGATGTTAGATTGGAGAATTTGGTATCAGATCAATTAGTAATCCCATAATTGATATTTTTCTTTATTCTCATTACTTGTCTGCATGATATTGTATAGATATAGTAAGGAGAAATTATGTCTTGGTCACTCTTGAAAGATGAAGGATGAAATCATTCATTTTCATTCTCCTCTTCACTACTGTTTTTAGTTATTATTTACTAAATCTCATCCACTCCCTGCGAAACGTAAAAACAGCTTTTTTCCAATTTTTTTACCATGTTTTAGAGGGACTTTTATCGCAGGTTTTAACTATTAAATTAAATCGATCGATTAAATTTATAGCTAAATTATTTTAATAAATTTAACGTTGTTATAGTTACGAAACATTTCTAGGACGCTTGATAAAAATATTTTGAAACATAGATGTCATATTTACTGGCCTCTGCAACGAACCGATTGGGCCTCTAAAGACATTTCTCCACCTAACGACTTGTACGTTGGTGCTTATGTCATATTTGTACCTATCCCCATCGAGATAACATCATATTTTTTTGAGTATGCGCTAGACACAACAACCACAAATATAAAATTAATGTAACAGAGATATGCTACTTTATATTGTTGAGGAGGCTAACTTATTTCGTTCTGCTTCGAGGCTCATTTCAAGATTCGGGTGCATGTAAACGGTCGTATAGTATTAGAAAATTTATTATGTTTTTCTCGGCATTCCTTTTCAAAAGTACTCAAATGAAAAGAAGAAATTGTTCAACTCTTTTTTCGTTTTCAATAATTGCTTATTTTTCAAGAGCATGCTTAGTTTACAACGAAGGAAAGGAATGAGAATTTTCAATATATGGCCAAAAATCCCTGAAGTTTGATCCCAGTCTCCGCGCATTGTGTCCAATATTGTTTACATTCGGAAACGTCACGCTCACTCGAGGCTTTTGTGACGCTGGCTATTTGCATAAAATTTAAAACAAGATTTATTTACAACCTTACAGACCACGATTTAATCCTTTTATCAAAACAATCCCTACAGAGAGTTCGAGAAATCGAAAGCAATAAACTTTTATCGGGTTCTTACAAGAAAAAATTTTCCCCTACATTTAGAACCCGTGAGATATTTTCGCTATTTTGTCTGCCTACCTAATATCCTCTTGAACTTCCGTTTAAACTTATAATTTTCTTTCCCCCGAATAATCGCGTGGGCAGAATATATTTTAATCACCTTGGTGCGAGAAAAGCAGAAAATAATCTTAAAATTCCCCCGAAGTGGGCGAACAATTGTACGAATCTACATTTAATGGAAAGAAAATGTAAATTTAAACAGATCACCTTACTTCGGATTTGCGTTGGATCAACAGAGTAATTGCGTTACAAGGCAAAAAACCCGGTATGTCATCATTGTCAGATTTCAATTCAATGTAACGAAACTCCTCGGATCTCGTTTCTGGATTTCGGCGTTAGAAAGTAAAATGTTTCGGTTACTTCTTTCGTCAAATATAGACGAGAAAACTGGTTCAGATCGTAAGTTCTGGACACAACTCGCCGATAATTGCAAACAAATTGTAGACACAAATTGTAGACCCCAAGCTCCCCTCAAACACTGCTTCGAACGCCTTGCATTTTTTGCTCTTCAATGGAGGTTAAATGCCGCTTAAGAACCTTTCTCCGTTTATTATTTTACGTGGCATATTTTGATCAAATTGAAGTGTTCACGATTTAGGGAAAATCCCAGAAGCTGATGTGACAATAAGTATAAACACAACATGCTAAATTATTCGTGGAAAAATGCCATAACGTACGACATGTCCATTGTCATAGGCGAATTTGCCGAAACAAGTTTTGCTTTGTAAGCAATTTCTTTAAAGAGGGGGAATCTAAAGGTGAACACTCGTAATTTTCGATTTTGAAGGGATTCGAATGCTAAATCATATAAAAAGCTACAACACAATTTTCTAAGAAAAATAATATCTAATTTACTTCTGGAGATAAAGGCAAATTTTAGGGGCAAAAAACTGAAACATTTCAGGATGTCACTATCGAGATTTTTCAAGTTCGAAACGCGGTTTCGATCGACTTTTGAAAGAACCTTTTGTCATAATATTCACAACTCATTTACCTGATTAGCATATGTTTTTTATTTAAAGGAGAACGTTTTAATTGTAAAACAAAAAATACTGTAGCATTGCAATAAAGATTTCTAGGTGCGAGCAAGAGAAAAAGGGTATTTCGCTTAAGGGTGAAAGAATAAGTTGTTTACAAAAAAAATATTTCGGTGCGTACCCTTGCCTGAAATATATATTTACAAAAACAAGGCAAATATTCAAAGATTTCTCGCTTTGGTAGGAATAGCAACTTCACTAAACGCATGACAAAATCCTTCTGAATGTAATTAAAGACAAATAAACGAATAAAACGTTAATAACAAGGAGGTGTCATGAGTGAATTTTTTTATTTACTGGTCCTGGAAATGGCTTCACAAAACAGCCAACAACACGGATTAATTAATACATCCTGTTAATTCGTTCTAATTACAAAAATATGCAGTTTTCAAAGTTCAAGCCGGGTGGTTGTCTCAATATAACCGCAAATTAGAAACGTTCAAATTTAAGTCGTAAGCATAACCGAAAACGTAAATGGAAACAATATTTCAGTTTCGGCATGTTTCGGCAAACATTAAATCTGCGGAAACACAAATGTAGCAACAATATCAGGTAAAGCTAATGTCAGTTGTTATTTCGAAATAAGTATCGGCCGCAATTAAAAATATAACAGAGTTGATCATAAAGAAAGTTGGTCGATGAAAAAACTTTACAATCCGTAGTTTCATGAATTATTTAACTTAGAAACAGAGACGAACAAACTTGACGATCCATTACAGCCTGAGCTTGTTGCGTGATATTTTACTTTTGACGAAATTACTTGCATCTGCTGTGCTCCCCGAATGGAAAATCATTCATGAGCGAGCTCAATTCCTTGTTGGCTTGAGGTACAGAATAAATCATCACAGAAAAACCTGATCTCCTTGGGTGAACACTCGTCGCTCATTCATCATTCTGAAAAACAGATTAAACCAAATAAATATCTTGCGCTGCACACGAAACGACATCGCGATACGAAATCCGCGAGTAAGCACAGAAGCTTCGAGAGCGCAATCACTCTTAGTCGCTTTCCGTCTTACAAATGAATTCAACAACAGATAAATAAAATGAATAAAATTTTCAGTAAGTACCTGAACTATCTTCTTCGTCGCTCAGTTCCTCAAAGGAATATTTCGGTTCGCTTCTCGACTTCTCCTTCGCTCTCCGTTCATCTGTGAAGGAATCGTACATCAACTTAGTATCAATTCGAAAATCGTTCTGTGCAACGACCGCAACTTCAGATTCTTACCTTTCATGGGTGCATCAGGTGGCGAATTAGCCGTAGGCCTTGTCAAAAGGCAACCGAATGAAAAGGCAATGGCTTTAATTCTGTCCTCATCTGATTTCCCCTCCAACAGCTTCGCAACTTTGGGGTCCATTTCGTTTGATGAAAATCGATAGAGACTGGCGATACCGAGGCGGTGAAATATTTTAATGCAAACGCTTGAGCAGGGAAAAATACCTGACACACTCGTGTCTGAAGGGAAATTTTTTACCTGAAACTTTCGACCAATCAGGTTAGGCCCCACGTGGGTCTCACAATTAAATGAAAGTGCTTACGAAGCATATAATTCGCGATCTAAAATATCTACCAATGGGAGACAGCCACTCCACCTGACCGGAAAAAACCCTGCAAGAAACTGAAAGCTATCAATTTAGACAACCTGAACAAAGGGGTTTCTGTATTGAAAATAATTTAGGTTTTCCGCAAGCATTTTGAATGACAGACGAAGTCAACAATCTTGATTACGATGACAATGGAAGCTGGTGCCATGGCGTTTACATTACCAAAAAAGGGAACGGTTTTGGCCAAGGTCGTCATGAGATAATGCTAAGTTAACAAAACAACGAGGATTAACCAAACAAAATCATTCACCACGTCGACTCTAATAGAATTCCGCGCCGAAGTGGCACCATCTGAGCGACAGCTAATCAACCAAGAATAGAAAATGCATCAACAGCATCTTTGAAAATGCTTTCCAAGCACATATTTGACGCATTAATCATCTCGAAACTGCTTTGTTGGCACGTTTTTTTGGACAAGGAAACGTGCTTACTTTGCGAAAGTAAAAACCCGCCAAAACAAATCAGCTGTATCATCCTTGAGGAATTCATTGGCGCTTAGCACGTGCAGAAGACCAGCTGAAGGTTGACGGGTGCGTGTTCAGAAACAAATAATGCGTCAAATCACAGAGAGAGGAGAAAGTGACCACACAGCAGTTTACTTTAATTTCCATGCTACGATTCTAAACCCGCCACAAGCGACGCATGAAGTTCGGTAAACGGAGACAACATGACCCCTGCGCAATTTTCACCGTCTTTTAACAGTGTGTTCTTATGGTTGTTACAAGAATCAGTGATGGAGAGATTCTAAATTTTGCGTCTAAAGTATTTCGAACATAGATCACAGGGGTAAGTCCCACGATCGATTGCGTTGCAACCGAACTACACCGTGTTCCGCCCTTGAAATCGACACATGCTGTGAAAACCACAAGGATCGTGAACACGTAGCTCAAAAACATGGAAATATTCTGCGGTGAAACCAAGGTAAGTGGAATCGGTTTTTTTAATCGCGTGCTTAACTTTCCCTGAAAGACAACCAGGATTGTGACTAGGTGCGTCGCATTTCAGAATCCATACATGTCCATGCACATCATTGATATTTGATTTGTATTTTCTCTTCATTAGGGGATTTCAGCGCAGCAAAGTCTCTACTTCTAAGGTAAGAAACGCGTCTTTTTTATCCAGTCAGCACATTTTGTGATCTGTCAATCATCCGAACTGAACGTGGTTTCCCTCGTTAGAAATAATATATAAATTTGTAATTCGCTTTCAAATTCTTAAGTCTAGCGGTGCTAGAATCAAAACAAGTGTTACTATAACAAAGTGCGCGATAGTTTTAATTTTCATACGGAACTTTTTAACGAACGAATCTTACTGCACCATATGTCAGGAAAAGGGGGACCGACTCCAAATTCGCCTAAAGACCCTACAATTCCGCCGAAACCTCCTCAACCAGCGCCACGTAAAGGTAGATGTAATTATTTACATGGATGCTTGATTATTACATGTGTAAAAGGGTCGCTTTTCTATCTCCGTTTTGACGCAATGCATTACACGTTGGTGATACGCAAGTTGTGTTCAATAAGTTGATATCTAGTTAAAACTTTCCATTTCTTTTCACAGGATATTGCAAATACTGCGTCGTACAATGACGTTAAAAGGTAAACGCATTTTTATATTTCAAGTGTACGAAATGCAATGATGCAATTCGTTCGACTTACATAAATTGCGCATCAGCGCACATGCTTTTGATCATTTCCAAACCAATTTACGACAATTTATGATGAAAAACTAATTCAGAGAAGGCTAAAAATTTATGCGCAAAGGAACTTTGTCTCGACATGCTTTAGCAAGCACTATTTTTTTCGGCCACGCAATGGGTAAAGTTTTCACAACAAAGCTGTCAATCATCTATAGATATTGATTTGGCTGCGTCAGGTATATAAGCGCAGAAGAGAGTCGTTCGAAGTAAAGCTGTGCATTAACCTTCTCCTTCCCAGAGGTTTAAAACTTTAGTATCAAACATGCCTAGCGGAACTTCTGGAGCAAGTGGATACACGACTTCTGACGCGGGGTATTCTACAGGGGGATATTATCAAGACAGAGACAGAGATAATTGTTGTGGCTGTTCCTGTAAGTAATCTTATCGTTGCCTCGCGCTTTCAACTTGAATCTTCTAATGTATTTTTTCTATATTCTTTTTCAGCGAGTTGCACGATTCTCTGACACAAGAGATGAGGTAAGAATGTTGTGTTCTTAACGCTGTTAAACGCAAGAAGTTTGATATGAATGATTCCCGCAGCAGAACTTGTTCCCAAGTGACCTTGAAGTGTTTGAGTAAAATTTCAAATGATAGGAAAACTTAAATTCTCGTCTTCAATTCGATGCAAAATATCTGTTCTCTATTAAGATAAGAGACTTCTACTCTATCGTCAAAGATACGCGCAAATTTTGTGGAAATTGTATGCGTTTTTTCTTCGTAATCCTTCGTAGTCAAACGAATTGAATGATTTAAAAGAGGACGCAAGCGTAGTTTCCTACACTCACTTAACTCTGTGATTCTACATTTCTTGAATCATGTAACCAGTCTTGTTCTATGTGCAAGCGCGCTTTATTTTTCTGTGATATTCCGCACACTTTTATCGTTTGTGCAACGGTTCAGACGCGTGATTCACACAGACATAATCTTGAAAGAAACGAAGCTTGAGGAATTCGTTGCAAAAACCTAAAAGCATGCCTGAAAACCGTGTACATTTACTGTAAAAATGCTTTATTACAGAAAGCAACAGCCGTAAATCTTATTATTTGTTGTTCGCTCAAATATGAGGCATAGATTATTCAGTAAAGTGTGAGAGCCAATCAGACGACACTCTCGTGTCACTCTCGCATTCGCCCATACAGACATCATATAATTAACTAGCGCGCACAAACATCGTCATACCTTAAAGATAGCTTGGCAAGGAATATTGAGTCAAAGTCGGTCGTGTTAGGATTAAAAGTACATGTAAAGTTTTAGATATGCCTGGAAGTTCAGGATCCTCAGGAAACTCGAGCGAAGACGTATCATATACTAAACCCGATAAAGATAAGTGTGAGTCTCGACAGTGCAACGTATTACTTCGGTTCAGCTTTCGAAAAACTTACTTTCTTTTATTTGACTTTTTCAGGGTGCATAATACTGTGACAAAAAAGGTAAGCTTGACTTAGTTTATATGCTACTGTCGCACACGAAAGCTCATTTTCGCGCCTTCCCCTGATATTTAAGATAACACTTGATATATGCTACAAGAAACAAAATGATCAAAGAGGGTAAGTTTCTAAAGAAACTGCGGTGCTGCGTCGGTGGGAGAGTATAACAGGTTAATTTAGTGTTAAGAACTGAGTTGAGAACGTAAATTGGCCACCGTAACGAGTTAAAAGGCTGACGTTTCGAGCGTTAGTCCTTCGTCAGAGCGATAGAAGAAAAGCTCTTCGTTTGAGCGATAGAGGAAGAGCTCTTCGTCAGAGCGATGCAAGAAACTAGGCGACAACAGTCAGGAGAAAAAATATCCAAAAGCAGAAAAATCCAAGCAAAATAGTCCGAATGTTGAGTCGAAAGATGGGAAAAACAACTAAATGTAAATAAGGACTGTTTCATTACTGCGTTATTTTAGCATTTGCCTTTCGATCGCTAACATCTTTTGAGTCTGTGTTTCAGATGATGCGACGATGATGGCGACGACTGTGTATTGCTGCAAAAGGTAAATTTTTTACACTTACAAAATTGACATGAAATCGCTCTTTAACTTTGTCTTAATCTTTCTAGTAATACGCATCAAGCTAGATACATTTTAACTCGCTTTAAAGAATTGTCAGCAAACTAGAGAATTTGTTAGTCTTAATCCTCGGTTTAAAAAACGAGAGTTGTTTAAATGCTTCATACACAATGTGAAATAAACATTCGCACTCAATTATCTTGCATAAGACGAAGACTTCAGAAATGATTCTAGCTATTCTCGTTTCCTAACTAACACGATATATTACACTAAGGCCTGTAGTACTAAACCTTACCGAATATTAATCTGCTTGTCTTGCCTTTCAGACCCCAAAGATCACACTATTTGGAAGAGAACTAATGAAGCCCTTCGTCACGAGGACTGATGTGTTTCTCCCTTTCAAAGTTCTGAAGCTTTTTACAGTTTGGACACGTTGCACAACTACCAGAATATGTTTTACTTGTCTTAGGAAGATGATTTGTGTAGTGGGTGTAGTGCATGAAATAGCTGGTTTTAAGATGAGCTTGTTAATTCGATCAATTCACGTTAAGGATTCTTTTCTCGTACTATGTAACTTTCCGGTTTGGTGTTGTTTATTTGAACTGAATTTGATGAGAAAGCGATGAAACATTTAAATTATCAATTTGCTCGTGTATGGCGCACGTCAGGAACTGATGCAAAAGATCTAACAGAGATGGAGTCAATAAACTAAGAAAGTAACATGAGCTGTGTGACATTAATCTGTCTGTTTCATTTTTTCAGGATCTCGCAAACGCTGCTTCTTGCAATGACGTTGAAAGGTGGACGACTTTTTCATTTCAAGCGGATGAAGCGCAACTATGCAGTTCGTTCGACTTACTTAAATTGCGCATCAGCGCCCAAGCTTTTAATAATTTCTAAACCAATTTACGCCAATTTATGATGAAAAACTCATTCGGAGAAGGCTAAAAATAAATGCGCAAAGGAACTTTGTCTCAAAATGCCTTAGTAAGCACTATTTTTACCACATCATGATGAACGCTTCCACAATGAAGCTGCCAATTATTTACAGTTATCGACAACCCTTATCGTTTGGCTGCGTTGGGCATATAAACGCAGAAGAGTCATTCAAAGTAAAATTGTGCGTTAACCTTCTACTTCCCAGAGACTTAAAAACTTAGTATGAAATATGCCTTGCGGTACGTCTGGAGCATGTGGGAATACGACTTGTGACGCGGATTATTGAACGGGGGGATCTCCTCATGACAGAGATTGCTGTTGTTGCTGCTCCCGTAAGTACTCTTGTCGTTGCATCGTGCTTTCAACTTGAATCCTCTAATGTATTTTTTCTAAATTCTTTTTCAGCGTGCTGCACGATTCTCTGACGCAAGAGACGAGGTAAGAATTTTGTGTTGTTAAAGCTGCTAAACACAAGAAGCTTTAATATGAATAATTCCCGCAGCAGAACTTTTTCCCAAGTGACTTTGGGGTGTTTTGAGTAAAAATTTCGAATTTTGAGCCAAACCTAGTGAACATTTTCGTCTTCAATTCGATGCAAATTATCTGTTTTCTATCAAGTTAAGAGCCTACAACACTATCATCAAACATACGCGCAAATTTTGTGGAAATTGTATGCGTTTTCCCATCGTAATCATCTTAGTCAAACCAAGTTAATAATTCAAAAGAGTGCGCAAAGCTAGTGTCCTACATTTACTAAGCTTTATCATTCTAAAATGATATCAAATTTCTTAAATCATGTAACCATACTTGTTCTACATGAGAGCGCGTTTTTTTTTTCTTTGAAAAATCAGGTCGACGATTCCGAGTTCGTTTATCGTTTGTATAATATGGCCGATTCAGGCGCGTGATTCATACAAAAATAGTCTTGAAACCAAGCTTGAGGAATTCGTTGCAAAAACCTAAAAGCATGACTGAAAACCATGTACATGTACTGTAAAAATGGTTCATTACCAAATGCAACAGTCGTAGACCTTAATGTTTGTTGTGCGCGTAACTAGGAAGAAGTGCTTACTTAGCAAATCTGAGAGCCAATCAGAAGCTGACACAACAGTGGACACAATTCGCCCATATAGACATCATATATAAACTGGCGCGCTTAAACAGCATAATCACACTATAGAGATAGCTTTGCGAGAGATATCAGTTTAAAGTCGGTCGTGTTAGCATCGAAGGTACATATAAGATTATAGATATGCCTGAAAAGTCAGGATCCACTGGAAACCCGAACGAAGACATAGGATATATCGTAAAGGCAGGACCTACAGGAAACCAGGGCTCAGATAGCGGATGGAAAAAATGTAAGAGCGGTTGGTTTAGTAAGTCTCGACAGTAAAACGTATTCGCTTTCGCTTTCGAGAAACTTATTTTCTTTCTTTGGCTTTTTCAGGGTGCACAATCTTGTGATTATAAAGGTAAGCTTGACTTATTTTATATGCTACTGCCGCACAAAATAGCTTACTTTTGCGCCTTCTCCTGATATTTAAGAACACGCATGATATATGCTGCAAGTAGCCAAATGAGTAAAGGATAAGTGTTTCTAATGAAACACTGGTGCTGCGTTAGTAAGAGAGTATAACAGGGTAATCTAGTGTTATAAACTGAGTTGATAACGTATATTGGCCACCGTAAAGAGTAAGAGGGCTGACGTTTCGAGCTTTAACCCTTCGTCAGAGCGACAGAAGGAGAACTCTTCGTTAGAGCGATGAAAGAAACATGGCGACAACAGCCAGGAGAAAAAATGCTCAAAAGCAGAAACTCTAAACAGAAATGTTCGAACGTTGCGTCGAAAAACGGGAAAAATAACTAAATGTCTGTTTTATTACTGCGTCATTTCAGCATTTGTCTTTCGATCGCTAACATCTTTTGCGTCTATGTTTCAGACTATATGACGACGATGGCGACGACTGTGTACTGCTGTAAAAGGTAAATTTTTTATATTCATACTAAATTGACATAAAATCGCTCTGAAATTCTTGTCTTTACCTGTCTTGTAATTTGCGCATCAAGCTAGATACATTTCAACTCGCTTTAAAGAATTGTCAGCAGATTAGGGAATTTGCTAGTGTTGATCCTCGGTTGAAAAATAAATAATTGTTAAAATGCTTCATGCACAATGTGAAAGTATACATTCGCACGCAATTGTCTTGCAATAGACGAGGACTTCAGAAATAATTCTAGCTATTCTCGTTTCCTGACCAACGCGATTTATAACATTAAAGTCTGTAGTGCTTAAACTTACAGAATATTAATCTGCTTGTCTTGCCTTTCAGACCCCGAAGATCACGCTATTTGGAAGAGAACTAATGAAGCCCTTCGTCACGAGGACTGATGTGTTTCTCCCTGTTAAAAATTCTGGAGTTAATTACAGTTAGGACACGTTGCGCATCGACTACAATATGTTTTACTCGTATTAGGAGTTAGAAATTGAGTTTTTTAGAATTTTTTCACATATTATGGAAATTTTCGGCTAAGTGCTGTTTATTTGACCCGAGTTTGATGACAAAGCGATGTAAAATTTGAGTTATAAATTCGCTCGTGTATGGCGCACGTCGGGAACCGATGTAAAAGACCTAACAGTGATGGAGTTAATAAACAAAGAAAGTAACATGAACTGTGTGACATTAATCTGAGGGAAAATTTTGGGTAATTTTAAAACAACACTGAATGACCCTTAAATTCCCAAGGCATTCTTAATGATGATATAAAATGCCAATGTCTCAAAGAGGGTTTCTCGCGGCAAAATCATAAATTAAAGGGACTACATTCTGAAAATTTGAACATGGGTGAATAGACACTTGAATAATGAGCTCATTGAAATCAACCGATGAAGCAGTAAACGCGAAATTTGGTAAATCGAAATAGTAAATTTCGACTAAACGACTGTGGAAATTATTGCGCGCCAAGCATGAGGCTGGAAATAGTCTGAACATAAAGATGAATTGACATCTCTTCAACCCTTACGCACGCTTTCATGATAATTTTCCTGATGACGAAAGCACCTTTACTAAACCAAACCCCCCCAATAACTGCGCAAATTGGATTTCAAAACAAACATTGGAAAGCGCTTCGCTAGCGTTTCACCAAATGCTTTGTAAGCACAATTCAACTCATGATAATCTTCCTGATGACGAAAGCCCCTTTACTGAACCACCCCCCCCCCCATAACTGTGCAAATTGGATTTCAAAACAAACATTGGAAAGCGCTTCGCTAGCGTTTCACCAAATGCTTTGTAAGCACAATTCAACTTGCGATTTCAAGTAACAACATGAAGACCACAAGCGTGCTTATTGGTAATCCCAAAATAACCCCAATGTGAATGCGTATTTTCATATGCCTGCTGAGTGAATTTCAAACACTTTTGATAACTTCCTGCGTCCAAAGGTCGCCAGAAACGGAGAGTAGAAAATATTAATGCTATCATCAACAAAACAAAGTGCGCTAGTATTTGGCTTCTACATTATAGCTAGAAAAGCAGATCGACTTTATTATTTACCAACGTATGTTACTTAATCGTGCAATTCTTTAGACATAGCCGGCTACCTTTTGACCTGAAACAAACCGATTTAAGGCAAATTAGAAAAGAAATAAGAAAAGCGCCAAGCTAGCATTTCGCCAAATGCAATGTAAGCAAATTATCAACATGCGAATTCTAAGAAACGATTTGAAACCACATGCGCGCACGTCAGTTATCCAAAAATAGCCGTTTCCGAGTGCCTGATTGATTGATTGAGCGATGATTACCGAGGCGGGAAGATGTTGGAAAATTTTACTCAGCGCAAGAATCGTCCTTTGACCTGTTGAAATATACTATTTCAGACAAGCCAAGCATGATTTGGGAAAGAAACTTTGTTTCACAATGCCTAGTAAGCATGCTTGGTAAGCAGTTTGCTCAGCCATGTCTGCGGTTAAATTTGGCAGCTGTCGTGATGAGACATGTTATACTTCAGTTTCGGTACGTCTCGCTATAAAAACACTGATCTGATGTCAGCGCAAGTTCAGTTGTGCGTCTACTTCAACTGGTCGCTGTGAGTCAATTTGCGCGTGAGCCGTCAAAGATTATGTCGGGAAGACCTACACCAAATCCCCCTCCAGATCCGCCAACACCGTCTCCGCCAGGACCGTCTTCGCCAAAGGACGGTGGCTGTATTCTATCTTTCTTCTAGCCACTCAGTATGAAATGTTCGTATTCGAGGTTTGTCGCAAATTTTCGCATGACATGTCACAGTAATATTACTACTCAATTAATTTGTTTTGACGTTCCCCTTGAACGGTTAGAAATAACTTCGGTCAGCAAAATCTGTTTGTTGAATGCAAGTAATCGTAGATACGATCTCTGTCTTAGAATGCGCCACGTATGTTAAAACACATTACAAAAGAGGTAGAAGAAACCTAGCTTACGCATCATTGTGATCGATCGTTCGCGCTGTCAAGAGGAAGGGAAGAGTTGACGAGCCACTGTCTCCCCATCAGATAAACCCATCTCTCTAAAATGCCCGGAAGGTCCAAAGCAACAGCTAATGCTGTCGGAGACGCAAGTTATAGATGCATAAAACAAGTCGAAAGCTCTGCCAGAGCTCTTCAAAGATGCATACGCAATCCTCAGCCCGCGGTACAACGCTGTCGCGCAATGTTGCGAAGAACTGATCGAAGTAAACCATCATTAGTATGCAATATATCGTTTGTAAGTCATTTTTCTTCTTATATTTTGACATGTTTTAATTCTATTTCAGGCTGGTGGGCGTCCTGCGCTATACTGTAACAAGGTGAGTTTCATTTGTATTCATTTCTTCCACATCGAAAGCGAATCGTTTAATATTACGATGCTATCCTCATTATCCCAACTAACATGATCCTGCCCGTGGTTAAGACAGCACTATTAAGGTCAAGCCCATAAATGCGCAACAAAATTTCAGCAAACGGAATACATTATGTCCTATTAATACCTAACCGCCAAGTATTTGATAAGCTCATGTTGGTTTGTTTGAAAGGTCGAAATGAAGTGAAGAGCCGTTGCGCAGTTAAAGATTAAGCAAAAATGAAAATCACTTCATTGAAAACCACGTCACTGAGCAAAAACAATTGCAAAATATCAGTGGCAACACGGCATGTGAGCTAGAAATACTTCAGCAAAGTTGATCATCAATCACCAAATTGCAAGATACTGGTTGTAAAATGACAAAAAAGTTAGGCAGCCGAAGAGCTTGGCAGCGTTAATGACATTGCGGAAGAAAAACATTTGTAGGCGAAAAAGTGCATAACAATTAATTTTGAAATGTCAATCAAAGTCACAGGGGCGAAAAAGCGCGCGAAAAAACTATAGAAAAGCGTGAGACGGTTAGTTGTGGTACCATTGCAGAAAGAATGCCCAGAGCAGGAGCGACCGGTAATTCTACTCGCGATGCGAGTTACAAGAAGAGGAACACTGGAAGAAAAAAGAAACCAGGAGAAGGAGCTGTTCAAAAGAAAACAAAAATCCAAAACAAACGTAAAGCACCACAAGCGGGCAACACTGGAAGCAAAAAGAAACAAAGGCGCGCAACGACTCCACAGAACTCTGTGACGGTTATTCGTGATACCATAGAAAGAATGCTCAGAGCAGGAGCGAAGAAGAACACTGGGAGAAAAAAGAAGCCAGCGGAAGGAGCTGTTCAAAAGAAAACCAAAATCCAAAAGAAACGTTAGGCGCCACAAGCGAATCAAAGTCGCAGTAAAAGTCGCGCCAAAAGTAAATACCGAACTTAGGTATGTTATCGATTCGTTGCATTTTTTACTTCTCCCAAGCTGACTTTTTTGCCTTTGTATTTCAGGTTGGTGCAACAGTCAATGAAAGGTATGTTTATACGTTTTTTTTTTCGAAAATCGCGGATTCCCGAAATGAGCTAGATTTACTTCAACTCACTTGAGAGAACTGTTAGCAAACTAGACAATTTCTGAGTGTTGATCCTCAGTTGAAGAAAAACCGAATCGTTTAAACTCTTCATGCACACTGTGAAAATAGTCCATTTTACAGTTGCGTACTTGGTTGCCAAGCCTTTGAACGGAAGTGAGGCTAAGGTTTACCTCGATATGATACAAACGTTGCTGCTTTTCAAATGTAAATTACCTTGTTATCACGGTAACTAGAAATTGTTCTCTATCACAGCATGGTCACCTTCAGCCTCACTCCAAATCAAAGGCTTGGCAACTAAGTACACAACTGTAAAATGGCCTATTAACATTCGCGCGCAGTTGTCTTGGCATGGACGAAGACTTCAGAAATAATTCTAGCTACCCTCAAACATAATCGACACCGGTTTATTACATTCGTGAAATCTGCAGTATTAAACCTTTCAGAATATTAATCACCTTGTCTTGCCTTTCAGACTCCAAAGATGAGCTTTTTGGAAGAGAACTAATGAAGCCCTTCACAAGGACTGATGTGTTCCTTATTCTCAAGTTTCTGGAATTATCTACAGTTTGGAAACGTTGCACACCTTTGATAGACTGTTTTATTCTTATTAAGTAAATGGTTGTAGGTTACTGATCTTTGTAAGTTTGAGAAAGTTTTCGGTTTAAGAGTACAGTGCATGAAATGCTTAGTTTTTGGTTGAGTTTGTTACTTCGATTGAATTTGCGGATTTTTTCAAGTACTCTGCGATTTTTTACATTTTTTGGCTTAGCGCTGTTTTATTTGACTTGATAAGAAAGCGATGTAATGCTTCAGTTACAAATTCGCTTGTGGATGGCGCAAAAATGTAGAGGACTTAGAGGAGATAGAGGCAATAAACTTGACATAGAAAGTGACTTGAGCTGTGTTTATGTTCATTTGATGTAATCAGTACTTCCTAGTCTGATACCCCAAGTTCAAAAACCCTCATAAAAAAATCCTTTCCAATGATAAACAAGGCATTTAGCTCAGGAGAAATGTTGGGAAATTTTAAGGCAAAAATGAATGGCTCTTACATGCCCAAGACATTCAAGATGATGGCATAGAATGCAAAATGTCTCAATTGGGGTTCCCCGCGGGAAAATCATAAATTAAAGGGATTACATTTTGAAAATTTGAACATGGATGAATAGAAACTTCAGTAAAAAGCTCTTTGTAATCATCCGATGAGGCAGAAATCGCGAAGTTAGGTTAGTCTAAATGGAAAATTTCGAATAAACGACTGTGGAAATTATCGCGCGCTGCGCGAATTTGACACATCAGGCCGGAAATAGTCTTAAATAAAGATGAATCGACATCTCTTCAACTCATGAGCGCGCTCTCATGATTTGTTTTCCAACTTGGTGTTGACAGCACCTTTTTTGAGCCAAACCTCCTAATAACTGCGCAGATTGGATTTCAAAACAAACATCGTAAAGGTGCTTCGCTAGCGTTTCACAAAATGCTTTTTTAGCACATTTCTTGTTTATCGACCTGCGACCTATACGTAATGACATGAAAAACACAAGCACGCACTTTAGGCATCCCAAAATAGCCCCAATATGGACACGAATTTGCCTTGCACGGAAGTCGCTGATATATAAATATATCCCGACTCAAAAGTGCGCTAGAAACGGAAAGAAATAAAATATGAATGTTATTATGAACAAAACAAAGTGCGCAAATATTCGACAAGAACATCGTAGCGAGAAAAACTGGTCACCTTTCTTCACACCGAGGTGAACATGTCATGCAAATCGGGATTAATAGGAAACCAAGATTTGGAAGTGTTATATACTACGCCTTCATGAGTCACAACAATAGCACGAAAAGTAAGTACCATTGTTCGACGTAAGATTTTATGTTAGAGACATCTTAAAAACACTTTTTCACTCTCATTTCAGCGTCTACCAAGGAACACAACAAAGACAAGGAGACCTCTAGCGACTCGACTACGAGCACGAACACCACCGGCAACTCGACTACGACTACTTTAACAATTCGACAACGACAGACACTTCTAAAGACTCGACTAGAAGTTCGGACACCAACAACGAGTCGACTTGGAGGATGGGTGACGCAGATATTGCAGATTATGGAATCGTTTTCTCGTTTTCCCATCGAGCCAATTAAGCGACTTCCTATTTCTTGTTTTAGATCATGGCAACAGAGGCGATGATTTAGAATTACCATTTAAGGCAAGCTCGGTTTTAAATCTTTGACGCAACATGCCCAAACGTACAATTTTACTTGGCGCAAAAGTCCGTCCTTCGACCTGGTTGAAATATTATACTCGAAAAAGAGCCAGACAGGATTAGGCAAGGAAACTTTGTTTCAAAACGCTTCGTAAGCATGCTTAGAAAGCACTTTTCTGCGGTCAAAATTGGCAGCTGTCAAGATCGTGAATATGATACTTCAGTTTCGGTGCACCTCGCTATAAAAAGCACCGATCTCGCGTCAGCCTAAGTAATCGTTGAGTAAAGTTGAGCGTCTACCTCTGCGGATCTCTGTGAGTCAACTTGTTCGTAAACCACAATCAAAAGAAAGTATGCCTTGTAAACCTACGCCAAGTCCCCCTCCAGATCCGAAGCCACCGAGATCAAGACCAACGAAGCCCTTACGTCGACTCCGTTAAGGAAAAGGTTTGCCAAAAATTTCCTCTTTATCCACTCAGTGTAAATAGTTGCAACTTCTCGTGCCACGAGTCAGTCATATTCTCACTCAATTATTTTTAATTTTGCTGTGCGTTCCTCTTGATGGTTTGGAATGCCATAGGTCAGTAAAATCTATTTTTCGAGTAAAACTAATCGTAAATATAATCCTCGTTTTAAAAAGCGCCAAGCATCTTAAAACAAATGACCAAAATGATAAACAACGTAGCTTATATATTTTTGTCATCGATCGTTATTGCTGTCGAGAGTAAGAGATGACAAGCTACTCGCGAACCATCTCTCTAAAATGCCCGGAAGATCCAACGCAATCGCTAATGTTGTCCGCGACGCAAGTTATAGATGCAAAAAACAAGTCAAAAGATCTACCGGATTTCTTAACCGAGGTACACGCGGTCCTCAGCCGCAACGCTTCCTCGCGATGTTGCGAATAACTACAGCTCGAAATAAACCGTGACAACATGGCGGAACTCAGCGCTTCCTTCATCGATCGCTTTCTTGCGATGTTGCGAAGAACAACTGCTTGAATTAAACCATCATTAGCACATTATATTGTTAGCAAATCATTTTTCTTTTCCTATTTTGACATGTTTCTCTCTAGTTTAGCCTGGAGGACATCCTGCTCCGAACTGAAATTATTTTTTTTAGCGGTTACAACAGCATTAGCTAGGGTCAAACGCGTAAATACGCAAAGCGAATTACAAAAATTTTAACCGACGGAATACATAGTATTTTAATATCTAACTGCTAACTAGTTGGTTAGCTCATGTTAATTTTCTTGAAAGGTGGAAATAAAGTAAAGAGCCATTACACAGTTGAAGATTAAGCATAATACTTTACTTTCGGTCTACGACTTTCTCTAGTCATGCGTATGAAATTAGGGTTCGGTGAGTCAAACCAATATAAACTTGTTTAAGTAAGCGCATTGCCTTCTTCCTGTCTTTCAGGAACTTCAAGAGCAAAACGGACGAAGAGAGTAGATGAGGACCTTGATGATACTTCAAGAAACCGAAGAATTATCTCTTTGACCTGTTCTTGCGTTCTTCAAGCAAACAAGCATTAGACGTTAAAAGTAAAGGAACTGTTAACAATAGACATTTCGTAATTTTGTCAGAGTTCACCACAGTAAATCATAGAATAATTATTCGTTTATTCTTCGCAATTGAAAGGATATCACATCGATGTAGAAATAAATGTAACACTTTTCTCTTCTTGCACATAAATTTGGCTCGCTGTGTGTTTACTCGATATCCTTGTTATTGTAAGATATGGCGATACCACAATTTGTATTTATGCGCACAATGAACGCAAGACTTTGCGATGAAACAATTTCATCAGTATTATAATCAAAATATAAGGAATGATAAACTGACGCGGTCGCGCCTAAAATTCTCTTCGCTAACGAAATTTGGTTAAGAAATTACAAAAGAGCATTCCTTGATCCCAGACGAGCCCGGATTGAGATCTACGATATCTTGCACGCGTTTCATAGTGTAACACGTTCGTTTGTTCAGACACAAGCTTATAAACACAATCTTAGCCGCATGAAAATTGCAACTCAATGGACTGTGAATTGTCGTCAATCAAGTTGCTTAAATCGTCAGATAGGCCGACACATTCTAAGACAAAAATGAATGGCCCTTACATGCCCAAGACATTCAAGATGATGGCATAGAATGCAAAATGTCTCGATTGGGGTTCCCCACGGGAAAATTATAAATTAAAGGGATTACATTTTGAAAATTTGAACATGGATGAATAGAAACTTCAGTAAAAAGCTCTTTGAAATCATCCCATGAGGCAGAAATCGCGAAGTTAGGTTAGTCTAAATGGAAAATTTCGAATAAACGACTGTGGAAATTATCGCGCGCTGCGCGAATCTGACACATCAGGACGGAAATAGTCTTAAATAAAGATGAATCGACATCTCTTCAACTCATGAGCGCGCTCTCATGACTTGTTTTCCAACCTGGTGTTGACAGCACCTTTTTTGAGCCAAACCTCCTAATAACTGCGCAGATTGGATTTCAAAACAAACATCCCAAAAGTGCTTCGCTAGCGTTTCACTAAATGCTTTTTTAGCACATTTCTTGTTTATCGACTTCCGACTTCTACGAAATGACATGAAAAACACAAGCACGCACTTTAGGAATCCCAAAATAGCCCTAATATGAACACGTATTTGCCTTGCACGGAAGTCGCTGATCTATAAAAGTTTAATTATTTCCCGACTCAAAAGTGCGCTAGAAACGGAAAGAAATAAAATATGAATGTTATCATGAACAAAACAAAGTGCGCAAATATTCGGCGAGAACATCATAGCGAGAAAAGCAGGTCGCCTTTCTTCACACCGAGGTGAACATGTCATGCAAATCGGGATTAATAGGAAACCAAGACTGGTAAGTGTTATATACTACGTCTTCATGGGTCACGAACAATAGCACGAAAAATAAGTACCATTGTTCGACGTAAGATTCTATGGTAGAGACATCTTAAAAACACTTTTTCATTCTCATTTCAGCGTCTACCAAAACCGACAACAAAGACAAGGACACCTCTAGCGACTCGACTACGAGCACGAACACCACCGACAACTCGACTACGACGACAAACACTTCTAAAGACTCGACTAGAAGTTCGGACACCAAGATCGAGTCGACTTGGAGGATGGGTGACGCAGAGATGGTAGATTATGGAATCGTTTTCTCGTTTTCCTATCGAGCAAATTAAGCGACTTCCTATTTCTTTTTTTTTAGATCACGACAACAAAGGCGGGGATTTAGAATGACCATTTAAGGTAAGCCCGGTTTTAAATCTTTGACACAACATACCCAAACGTAAAATTTTACTTGGCGTCCTTCGACCTGGTTGAAATATTATACTCGAAAAAGAGCCAGACAGCATTAGGCAAAGAAACATTGTTTCAAAATGCTTCGTAAGCATGCTTAGAAAGCACTTTCTGCGGTCAAAATTGGCAGCTGTCAAGATCGTGAATATGATACTTCAGTTTTGGCGCACCTCGCTATAAAAAGCACCGATCTGGCGTCAGTTAAAGTAATCGTTGAGTAAAGTTGAGCGTCTACCTCTCCTGATCTCAGTGAGTCAACTTGTTTGTAAACCACAGTTACTCGAAAGTATGCCTTGTAAACCTACGCCAAGTCCCCCTCCAGATCCGAAGCCACCGAGATCAAGACCAACGAAGCCCTGAAGTCGACTCCGTTAAGGAAAAGGTCTGCCAAAAATTTCCTCTTTATCCACTCAGTGTAAATAGTTGCAACTTCTCGTGCCACGAGTCAGTCATATTCTCACTCAATTATTTTTAATTTTGCTGTGCGTTCCTCTTGATGGTTTGGAATGCCATAGGTCAGTAAAATCTATTTTTCGAGTAAAACTAATCGTAAATATAATCCTCGCTTTAAAAAGCGCCAAGCATCTTAAAACAAATGACCAAAATGATGGACAACGTAGCTTATATATTTTTGTCATCGATCGTTATTGCTGTCGAGAGTAAGAGATGACAAGCTACTCGCGATCCATCTCTCTAAAATGCCCGGAAGATCCAACGCAATCGCTAATGTTGTCCACGACGCAAGTTATAGATGCAAAAAGCAAGTCAAAAGATCTACCGGATTTCTTAACCGGGGTACACGCGGTCCTCAGCCGCAACGCTTCCTCGCGATGTTGCGAATAACTACAGCTCGAAATAAACCGTGACAACATGGCGGAACTCAGCGCTTCCTTCATTGATCGCTTTCTCGCGATGTTGCGAAGAACAACTGCTCGAATTAAACCATCATTAGCACATTATATTGTTAGCAAATCATTTTTCTTTTCCTATTTTGACATGTTTCTCTCTAGTTTAGCCTGGAGGACATCCTGCTCCGAACTGAAATTATTTTTTTTAGCGGTTACAACAGCATTAGCTAGGGTCAAACGCGTAAATACGCAAAGCGAATTACAAAAATTTTAACCGACGGAATACATAGTATTTTAATATCTAACTGCTAACTAGATGGTTAGCTCATGTTAATTTTTTTGAAAGGTGGAAATAAAGTAAAGAGCCATTACACAGTTGAAGATTAAGTATAATACTTTACTTTCGGTCTACGACTTTCTCTAGTCATGCGTATGAAATTCGGGTTCGGTGAGTCAAACCAATATAAACTTGTTTAAGTAAGCGCATTGCCTTCTTCCTGTCTTTCAGGAACTTCAAGAGCAAAACGGACGAAGAGAGTAGATGACGACCTTGATGATACTTCAAGAAACCGAAGAATTATCTCTTTGACCTGTTCTTGCGTTCTTCAAGCAAACAAGCATTAGATGTTAAAAGTAAAGGAACTGTTAACAATAGACATTTCGTAATTTTGTCAGAGTTCACCACAGTAAATCATGGAATAATTATTCGTTTATTCTTCGCAATTGAAAGGATGTCATATCGATGTAGAAATAAATGTAACACTTTTATCTTCTTGCACATAAATTTGACTCGCTGTGTGTATTTACGCGATGTCCTTGTTATTGTAAGATACGGCGATACCCCAATTTATATTTATGCGCACAATGAACGCAAGGCTTTGCGATGAAACAATTTCATCAGTATTATAATCAAAATATAAGGAATGATAAACTGACGCGGTCGCGCCTAAAATTCTCTTCGCTAACGAAATTTGGTTAAGAAATTACAAAAGAGCATTCCTTGATCCCAGACGCGCCCGGTACGAGATCTACGATATCCTGCACGGTTTCATAGTGTAACACGTTCGTTTGCTCAGACACAAGCTTATAAACACAATCTTAGCCGCATGAAAATTGCAACTCAGTGGACTGTGAATTGTTGTCAATCAAGTTGCTTAAATCGTCAGATAGGCCGACACGTTCTTAAATTACAAAAGGTTGCATCTCATTGAAGAAGGTGGTAGACTGGCTTTTGAGGAACAAGAAACAGATTGTATCTGCTTAATCCCTTAAATCTAAAGTATGCCCGGGAAATCTTGTGCTTGCAGCAACTCAACCAAAGACGCTGGTTATCCATGCCACAAAGCAGACTGTCCTACCTTAAAAAATGAAGCATGTAAAGATAACTGTACAAAGCACCACTGTAAGTTATGTTTCTCTATTGCGAGATTTGAAAAAAACAGCGTCTGACAGAAAATTCTTCTCCGCTTTCCCAGGTTGGTGCGAAAAGTGCGTTATACTCTAAAAAGTAGGTAAGTTTCCAAGTGTGGCAAATAACGTAGATGCAAAGGTCACTGTCAATCTATATCAAACCAAACGGGGTGTCAAACATGGCAGACATGACCTGCACTTTTTCAGCTTGAATATCCACTTACAGCTAGCTTTCAAGATTTTTAGCGATACAATTGTGCGAAGTTGCATGAGTTACGAGCGCGATCACGTTCCCACGTTGCGTAAATACGATCTACAGCAATTTCAAAACAATTAATTGATGCCCGCGTTCAAAGGTCTCATGCGCGCAATGTTTGTCGTATCGCGTCAGCCTAAACAACCAAACAGAGCTTGAGTGGCCATAAAAAAAAACTGCAAAACAATGCTGTTGACGTCGTGCTTCACTTGCATTTTTTTCAATGTGCCATGAAAGCACATTTTTGTTAATCAATGACCGACCACCGCGTTGAATAAAATGAAAACCTTGTAAGGGCAACTGTCTCGATAAACAAAGATGCTCCGGAAATAGCTTAGAATTCCACCCGCGTATTTTGTGGAGCAAAGATGTGCGCATCTACGACTGTGGCAAAACACAGCTAAGAAGGGAACCCGAGGCTATTTCTTGCCAATTTATAGCAACTTTCCAACAAATATATAAACTGGCCGATACGTTAGTAACCAATGTTTTGTTTCATGAAGCTTTGAAAATAATAAATTTAGCACAAAGCGATCTTGTTCGCTGCAATATGACAGCAGGATAATTGAAACTCTGTGGGTTGTAAACTGTCAATCAATCAATTTAAGATTCGAGACCCTGTTCCGCACTTGTCTATGCTTTGTTCATTGAGGCTCTGCACCAACTTTCGGGGAGCAAGAAACTTTTCCTTTGCTGTGCTTAACTAAAGCCCTGATATGCCTGGAAAATCGTGCGCTTGTTGCAACTCCACGAAGGACGCTGGCTACCATCGTCCATGTGGCCACTGCACCTCTAAATGCAAAGACGGTTGTCGAAAAGGCCAGTGTAAGTAGTGGTTTATCTTTAATGGGCTTGAAAACGCCAAATACCACTAAAGATTTATTCGTTCCTCACCATTCCAGGTTCGTGTAAACATGATGACTGCTGGTGTGTTTTGCTCTGATGATTTCAAGTAAGTTTTAAGCACAAGTTCCCATCTTTCTTTAACCAGTCATGCGGGGTTTTACAACATGGCGGAAACGATCAGCGTTTCTTCATCGATCGCTAAACACGTACTTAATCTTCCTTTCAATTGTTTTTCAGGTTGGCGCGAATGATCAGTGATTTAAAAGGTAAATTTTTGATACTCTTTCGAAAGTCGTTACTGTTTTTATACTGTTTTCTATTCTAATTCGGTTATTTACGCCATAAGCGAAAGATTTAACCCTCTGAGTGCTTAGCATAACATACCATTTCCTAATATCTTTGGAACCAGAATTGTTTAATCTCTTCATGCACAGTAGCAAAATACACATTATCGCTTAGTTGCCTCATTTTGGCTTACACTAAGACATCGAAAATAATTCTGGCGAGTGTAGCAGAGAGATCTCTCGTTTCTGAGTTCACATCGACTCTTTCACCATCCACACAGATTGTTGTATTCATTGTAAACTATACTCAATCAGATTTTCTCGCCTTTCAGATGCCAAAGACCAAGTTTTAGCCCTTTTGCAGTAGGACCGATCCAGTTTGTCGTGTTCAATTACTTGGAGTCGTCACAATTTGTTCACGTTGCGAAGCCTAAAACAAAATTGTTCCCTCGTATAACGAAGGCAATTGTAGTCGAGCTTGAGTTTGCAGATGATTATGGTTTTCACAAAGTTTATGATCATAGTTCGTTTAGCTTGAAATCGATTGTATTTGGGTTAGTTCTTAGTTAGGGTTCTCACTTCTAAGAGATTTCACAATCGAGTTTTTCTCAACCTAAGACACTTTTGGAACGTATGATTTCTAGTGCTGTTTATATGATCTACGTTCGACGACAAAGCATTGTAACTCATCATTCAGCTCGCGGAGAGGAGAAAGCAGAAGAACTAATGTAAAAGATCAGACAGAGATAGAGTCAATAAACATTACAACAAAAGTAGTTTGAGTTGTGTTCTTGTTCTTGAGTTATCAGCAGTGTTTCTACAGCAGATATTCGAGACTCAGTATCCCTTCCGATGTCAAACAAAATCGATAGCACAGAAATTCGAGAAGGCACGACAGGATGTCTCAAAATGGGTTATTTACCAGAATATTGAAAGGAATATTGAGGGCTACAGTTTATGGCATTAATCCAGAGAGATACCACTACCGTCGACATTTTAAAGGCATCAGTAAACAGACCCATTGGCGCCCGAGAAAGTGGAAATGAAATGATGTTGAGCGAAATATGCAAAATACTTCAAACGAGAAGTCGGCCCATGAAGTTTAAGTATTTAAAGCTAGGCAATCTAGAGTTGAACTGCAGTAGGATGGAAAATTCGTTTGAATTTCTGTTGAATGCAGATCAAGAAACTCAAAACAATCTTCACGCGCATTTTGAGACGATTACTTTTTTTGCACAAATGGAGAATAAAAAGGAATTTCAAAGCAAGAATATCTTGAAGAACTGCTTTGTTAGCACTTATTACACGCGATATAAGTTTATTTCAATCATTCAGTTCTTAGACAGTTTCTCATACGAGGTGCAAAGTTTGAAAGATTCTCGTTTTGTCTGAGTGCAGATATGAATTAAACAAATTTTGACCCGAGACGCGTTCATTGTTTTTCATCACAACTAACTGACGCAACCAAACAACCCACCTATGAGGAAGACGAATGATGAGAAAATGACAAGGACGGCCGCGTAAAAACCAATCGGTAAAACCAGTTTCAGACATGTGAATACAATCAAATGTCAAATATGGAAGTATGACGTGAGAGTCTAATTCGTGGAAAAAACTAGGCAAGCATAAAGCGCACTATCATACCGAGCAGGCAAACGCGTTTTCGACAGTCAATAAATTCTCTCGTTTTCGACAGTCAATAAGTTCTTGATTCTACCAAGGAGATGTCGGGCGGTTGTGGAAATTCGACATGTGATGCAAGTTATGGTAATGCTTGTGATCCTTGACTTAAACTGCTATAATCACGATCTGCCTATTCTTGTTTTATTATTCTGCTTTTCGACATAACCAACCGTTTATTTTACCTTCATTTTCAGACAAATGTTGCTGCTGTATTCTGTAAACAGGCGCTCATGGGGTAAGCTTAACTTAAATTCTGAAGTCCCGCTTAGTGTGGTTTTCAGTCGTTCGTTCAATATGGCGGCGTAACACTGCAACAAATTTCGTCGTAATCCACTCAGTATAAATTGTTGCACTTTTCGCGCCACGAGTCAGTGATATTCTTACTCACATATTTTTAACTTTGTTGTACGTTCCTCTTAAAAAAATGATAAACAATGAAGCTTATATATCGTTGTGATCAATCGTTCCGCTGTCGAGAGGATGAGTCCACGAGCTACTGGCGAACCAGCTCCCTAAAATGCCCGGAAGAACCAATACAACCGCAAATGTTGTCCGCGACGCAAGTTATACATACGAAAAAACAAGTCAAAAGATCTAACACAGCTCTTAACTGAGGTAAACGCGGTCCTCGGCCGCAACGCTTTTTGCGATATTGCGAGAAGAACAACTGCTCGAAGTAAACCATTACAACATGGCGGAAATCTTGTCATCGATCGCTTAACACGTACTAAATCTTCCTTTCCATTGTTTTTCAGGTTGGCGCGAATGATCAGTGATTTAAAAGGTAAATTTTCGATACTCTTTCGAAAGTGGTCATTGTTTTTATACTGTTTTCTATTCTAGTTCGGTTATTCGCGCAATAGGCGATAGATTTAACCCTGGAGAAAGAGTGCTTAGCATTACAAACCATTTCTTAATGTCTTTCGAACCAGAATTGCACAGAATTGCTTCATGCACAGTAGCAAAATACACATTATCGCGTGATTGCCTCGTTTGGCTTACACCAAGAAGTTGAAATAACTCTGTCGAGTATAGCAAAGAGATCTCTCGTTTCTGAATTCAAACCGGCTCGTTTACCATCCGTTCAGACTTATGTAATCATTGTCATTTATACTTAATCAGATTTCCTCGCCTTTCAGATGCCAAAGACCAAGTTTTAGAAGGAGGAATAATGAAACCCTTGTGCACAAGGACTGATGCGTTTCTCGTGTTCAATTACTTGCAGTTATCACTATTTGTTCGCGTTGCGAAGCCTAAAACAGAATTGTTCCCTCATATAACGAAGGCAATTGTAGTCGAGCTGGAGTTAGCAGATGGTTATTCTTTTCACAAAGTTTATGATCAAAGTTCGTTTAGCTTGAAATGGATTGTATTTGGATTAGTTCTTAGTTAGGGTTCTCACCTCTAAGAGATTTCACGGTCGAGTTTTTCTCAACCTAAGACACTTTTGGAACGTATGATTTCTGGTGCTGTTTATTTGACCTACGTTCGATGACAAAGCATTGTAACTCATCATACCGCTTGCGGAGAGGAGAAAGCAGAAGAACTGATGTAAAAGATCTGACAGAGATAGAGTCAATAAACATTCCAGCAAAAGTAGTTTGAGTTGTGCTCTTGTTATTAAGTTTATAAGTTATTAGCGGTGTTTTCACAGCAGATATTCGAGACTCAGTATCCCCACCGATATCAAACAAAATCGATAGCACAGAAATTCGAGAAGGCACGACAGGATGTCTCAAAATGGGTTATTTACCAGAATATTGCGAGGAATATTGAGGGCTACAGTCCACAGCATCAATCAAGAGAGATACCACTACCATAGACATTTTAAGGGCATCACTAAACAGACCCGTTGGCGCCAGAACCAAATTACCTTCGCCCTAGCGAGGAAGGAGGAAACGCTTGTAAGCCTCGACTTAAATTGCTTATTCTTGTTTTATTTCTCTGCTTTTAAACATAACGAACCATTTGTTTTACCTTCACTTTCAACATGTGGTTGCTGTTGTATTCTGAAAACAGGCGCTTATGGGGTAAGCTTAACTTAAATTCTGAAGTCCCGCTTAGTGTGGGTTTCAGTCGTTGTTCAATATGGCGGCGATAACACAGCAGCGTTTTCAATAGATTCAAGTTTTCTACTTCGCGATCTACTGTTTGTTCTCGTCGTCTTAGGCTTTTCTCGGACTCGATTCTCGACTCTCGATTCAAGAGTATGCTAGATGAAATCTTTCGTCTTAAATTCACACCAAGCTGCGTAGTCTTTGAGCTCGATTTGAGAATTGCGCTTTTTATTTCAATGATCAACATTATTTATTGTTCGTACAAGATGGCGGATAGTGTCATCAAATCTAATAGAGAAAAGCATTTAAACACAATATTCGATCTAACAGTCCATGCTACAGTCATCTAAAGCCACAATTTCTGTATAAACGAAACAACGATCAAGAAAACCGAATTTGCGCAAAGAACCATTGAAAATAAAGCAATTAAAGTGTAAGAGCGTGGGAACACATTTGCGTCGTGGATAGGTAGCCACGAGATGCACTTTTTCTGAAGGCCAAGTTGATGGACATCAACTCCCATAGTCTCCCATATAAATGGAGAGAAGGAAATAATTTTGTGATTCCAGTTTAACAGACTCACATGCATAACAGCAAAAAAGGCTTATAATAAATTAGTACACGAAGTACGCAGACGCAACTTTGTCGCCACGTAGTAAAAGCACTGATCTGGCTTCAGCCATAATAAAGTTGAGCGTCTACCTTGGCTGGTCGCTGTGAGTCAACTTTTTCGTACACTACAGCCACTGAAAATTATGTCAAAACCAACGCCGAATCCCACTCCAGAACCGTCGCCGGAACCAAAGCCATCAAAGCCGAAGAAGGGCTGAAATCGACTCTGTTAAGGATTTGAAAAGGTCTGCAACAAATTTCATCCTCATCCACTCAGTATAATTTGTTGCAACACTTCGCACCACGAGTCAGTGATATTCTTACTCACTTATTTTTAACTTTGTTGTGCTTTCCTCTTAAAACAAATGACAAAAATGATAAACAATGAAGCTTATATATCGTTGTGATCGATCGTTCCGCTGTCGAGAGGATGAGTCCACGAGCTACTGGCGAACCAGCTCTCTAAAATGCCCGGAAGATCCAATACAACCGCAAATGTTGTCCGCGACGCAAGTTATAGATGCGAAAAACAAGTCAAAAGATCTAACACAGCTCTAAACAGAGGTGCACGCGGTCCTCGGCCGCAACGCTTTTTGCGATTTTGCGAGAAGAACAGCTGCTCGAAGTAAACCATTACAAAATGGCGGAAATCTTCCTTCATCGATCGCTCAACACCTACTAAATCTTCCTTTCCATTGTTTTTCAGGTTGGCGCGAATGATCAGTGATTTAAAAGGTAAATTTTCGATACTCTTTCGAAAGTGGTTTTTATTTTAATACTGTTTTCTATTCTAGTTCGGTTATTCGCGCAATAGGCGATAGATTTAACCCTGGAGAAAAAGTGCTTAGCATAAAAAACCATTTCTTATGTCTTTGGAACCAGAATTGTTTAATCTCTTCATGCACAATAGCAAAATACACATTATCACGTAATTGCCTCGTTTTGGCTTACACTAAGACGTTGAAATAATTCTGTCGAGTGTAGTAAAGCGATCTCTCGTTTCTGAATTCAAACCGACTCGTTTACCATCCGTTCAGACTTCTGTTACCATTGTCATTTATACTTAATCAGATTTCCTCGCCTTTCAGATGCCAAACACCAAGTTTTAGAAAGAGGAACAATGAAGCCTTTTTGCACAAGGACTGATGCGTTTCTCGTGTTCAATTACTTGCAGTTGTCACTATTTGTTCGCGTTGCGAAGCCTCAAACAAAATTATTCACTCGTATAACGAAGACAATTGTAGTCGAGCTGTAGTTTGCAGATGATTATGGTTTTCAAAAATTTTATGATCAAAGTTCGTTTAGCTTGACATGGTTTGTATTTGGGTTAGTTCTTAGTTAGAGTTCTCACTTCTAAGAGATTTCACGATCGATTTTTTCTCAACCTAAGACACTTATGGAACGTATGATTTATAGTGCTGTTTATTTGACCTACGTTCGATGACAAAGCATTGTAACATTCAAGTCAATCTTTCACTCGCGGAGAAGAGAAAGCAGAAGAACTGATGTAAAAAATCTGACAAAGATAGAGTCAATAAACATTATAACAAAAGTAGTTTGAGTTTTGTTCTTGTTCCTGAGTAATTAGCAGTGTTTCCACAGCAGACATTTGAGACTCAGTATCCCTACCGATGTCAAACAAAATCGATGGCACAGAAATTCGAGAAGGCACGACAGGATGTTCCAAAATGGGTTATTTACCAGAATATTGCAAAGAATATTAAGGGATACAGTCCACGGCATTAATCAAGAGAGATACCACTACCATAGACATTTTAAGAGCATCAGTAAACAGACCCGTTGGCGCCAGAACCAAATTACCTTCGCATTAGCGAGGGAGGAGGAAACGCTTGTGAGTCTCCACTTAAACTGCTTATTCTTGTTGTAATTCTGTGCTTTTCAACATAACGAACCATTTGTTTTACCTTCACTTTCAACATGTGGTTGCTATTGTAGTCTGCGAACAGGCGCTCTTGGGGTAAGCTTAACTTAAATTCTGAAGTCCTGCTAAGTGTAGGTTTCAGTCGTTTGTTCAATATGGCGGCGTAACAGTGGCATTTTCAATAGATTCAAGTTTTCTACTTTGCGGTCTACTTTTTGTTCTCGTCGTCTTCGGCTTTTCTCGGACTCGATTCTCGATTCAAGGGGATGCTAGATGAAATCCTTCGTCTTAATTCACACCAAACTGCGTAATCTTTGAGCTCGATTTGAGAATTGCGCTTTCTTCTTCGATGATCAGTATTCTTTGTTGTTTTTTCAAGATGGCGGATAGTGGTATCAAATCTAATAGAGAAAAGCATGTAAACACAATATTCGATCTAACAGTCCACGCTTAAGTCATCTAAAGCCACAATTTCCGTATAAACGAAAGGACGATTAAGAAAACCGAATTTGCGTAAAGAACCATTGAAAATAATGCAATTAAAGTGTAAGAGCGAGGGAACACATTTTCGTCATGGATAGGTGGCCATGAGGCGCAATCTCGTGGTATTCGACTTTTCTCGGACTCGATTCTCGATTCACGATTCAAGGGGATGCTAGATCGAATCCTTTGTCTTAAATTCACACCAAACTGCGTAGTCTCTGAGCTCGATTTGAGAATTGCGCTTTCTACTTCGATGATCAACATTGTTTGGTGTTTGTACAAGATGACGGATAGTGGTATCAAATTTGATAGAGAGAAGCATTTAAACACAATATTCGATCTAACAGTCCACGCTTAAGCCATCTAAAGCCACAATTTCTGTATAAACGAAACGATGATCAACAAAACCGAATTTGCGCAAAGAACCATTGAAAATAATGCAATTAAAGTGTAAGAGCGAGGGAACACATCACAGCAATCTAACTGAAGGCAGAGGTGCTGGACATCGACTCATTGTTAACTAAACTTAATTAGATGACCTCGCCTTTCAGAGTAAATAGACCCGTTGGCACCCGACAAAGCAGAAATGAAATGATACTTAGCAAAATATGCGAAATACTTCAAACGGGAAGTCGGCCTACTGGTACTGATTTCAAAATTAGGGTAGTTCATCAATATTCGCGAGATTTTACCGCGAAATGAAGTTTAGGTATCGAAGGCTGAGCAATCTAGAGTTGAACTACAGTAGGCTGGCAAATTCGTTTGAATTTCTGTTGAATGCAGATAAAGAAACTCAAAACAATCTTCACGTGCATTGTAAGACGATTACTTTGTTAGCGCAAATAGAGAATAAAAAAGAATGTCAAAGCAAGAATGCCTTGAAGAACTGCTTTGTTAGCACTTACTATACGCGATATAAGTTTATTTCAATCATTCACTTCTTCGTCAATTTCTCATACGAGGCGCAAAGTTTAAAAGAATTTCGTTTCGTCCGAGTGCAGGTATGAATTGAACAAATTTTGACCCGAGGCGCGTTCATTGTTTTTTTATCACAACTAACTGACGCAACCAAACAACCCACCTATGAGGAAGACGAATGATGAGAAAATGACAAGGACGGCCGCGTTTTTTCTGCGGTAAAACCAATTTCGCTTGGTTGATTGATTGAGCGTATTCAGCGATGCGGGAGAAATAGGATAATTCACAGACATCTCTACTTAACGCAAAAAACCGTCCTTCGACCTGGTTGAAATATTATACTCGAAAAAGGCCAAATATGATTCGGCAAACTTTGTTTCAAAATGCTTCGTAAGCATGCTTGGTAAGGAGTTTTCTGCATTCAAACTTGGCAGCTGCCAAGATCGTGGTGTCGGTGCATCTCGCTATAAAAAGCACCGATCTGGCGTCAGCCTGAGTAAAGTTGAGCGTCTACCTCTGCTGGTCGCTGTGAGTCAACTTGTTCGTACACTACAGCCACTGAAAATTATGCCAGCAAACCTGGCATAATCCTCCCGATCCGCCACGTCCAAAGCCAGACCCACAATGGGATCCGCCACAACCAGATCTCAACCGAATTTTCGCAAAAAACCATCGAAAACAAAGCAATTCAAGTGTAAGAACAAGGGAACACATTTGCGTCAGGGATAGCTAGCCATGAGTTGCCATTTAGCTGAAGGCCAAGTTAATGGACATCGACTCCAGCATAGTTTCCCTGATAAATGGAGAGAGGGCAGTAATTTTGTGATTCCAGTTAACAGACTCATATGCATAACAGCAAAAAAAGGCTTATAATAAATTACTACACGAAGTACGCAGACGCAACTTAGTCGCCACGCAATAAGATTGCTTTCATCGCGTCTCGCTATAAAAAGCAGTGATCTGGCGTCAGCTTGAGTTAAGTTGAGCGTCTCTTTCTGCTGGTCGCTGTGAGTCAACTTGTTCGTACGCTACAGTCACTGAAAATTATGCCACCAAAACCAGATCCAACCACTCCAGATCCGTCATATCCAAGGCCGAAACCAAAGCCGAACAAGGGCTGAAATCGACTCTGTTAAGGATTGGAAAAGGTCTGCAACAAATTTCGTCTCAATACACTCAGTGTAAATTGTTGCAACTCATCGCGCCACGAGTCAGTGACATTCTTACTCAATTATTTTTAACTTTGCGTTTCTCTTAAAACAAATGACCAAAATGATAAACAACGTCGCTTATATATTATTGTGATCGATCGTTCTTGCTGTCAAGAGGAAGACCTGACAAGCTACTGGCGAACCAGCTCTCTAAACTGCCCGGAAGATCCAGCACAACCGCAAATGTTGTCCACGACGCAAGTTATAGATGCAAAAAAACAAGTCTACCACTGCTCTTAACAGAGGTACACGCGATTCTCAGCCGCAACGCTTTCCTGTGATGTTGCGAAGAATAACTGCTCGAAGTAAACCATTACAACATGGCGGAAATCTCCCTTCATCGATCGCTCAACACGTACTAAATCTTCCTTTCAATTGTTTTTCAGGTTGGCGCGAATGATCAGTGATTTAAAAGGTAAATTTTTTACACTCTTTCGAAAGTGGTTATTACTTTTATACTGTTTTCTATTCTAATTCGGTTTTTCGCGCCATAAGCTAAAGATTCAACCCCCTATAACTTACCATTTCTTAATATCCAGAATTGTTTAATCTCTTCATGCACAGTAACAAAATACACATTATCGCGTAATTGCTGCGTTTTGGCCTACACTAAGACGTTGGAAATAATTCTGGCGAGTGTAGCAAAGAGATCTCTCGTTTCTGAATTCAAACTGACTCGTCCGCCATTCGTACAGACTTCTGTGATCACTGTTAACTATACTTCATTAGGTTACCTTGTCTTTCAGATGCCAAAGACCAAGTTTTAGAAGGAGGAGTAATGAAGCCCTTTTGCACAAGGACTGATGCAGTTTCTCGTGTTCAATTACTTGCAGTTGTCACTATTTGTTCGCGTTGCGAAGCCTAAAACAAAATTATTCACTAGCATGACGAAAGCAATAGTAGTCGAGCTTGAGTTTGCAGATGATATGATTATGGTTTTCACAAAGGTTATCATCATAGCTCGTTTAGCTTGAAATCGATTCTATTTGGGTTAGTTCTTGGTTAGGATTCTCACTTCCAAGAGATTTCACAATCGAGTATTTCTCAACCTTAGACACTTTTGGAACGTATGATTTCTGACGCTGTTTATTTGAACTACGTTCGATGACAAAGCATTCCAGCATTTCAGTCATCATTCCGCTCGCGGAGAGGAGAAAGCAGAAGAACTGATGTAAAAGTTCTGACAGATATAGGGTCAATAAACTTTACAACAAAAGTAGTTTGAGTTGTGCTCTTGTTCCTGAGTTATTATCAGTGTTTCCGCAGCATATATCATATAAACAGGCACTCACGAGGTAAGCTTAATTTAAATTTTGAAGTCCCGCTTTGTGTGGGTTTGAGTCGTTCGTTCAATATGGCGGCGTAACACAACAGCATTTTCAATAGACTCAAGTTTCCTACCTCGCGGTCTACTTTTTGTTCTCGTGGTCTTCGGCTTTTCTCGGACTCGATTCTCAATTCAAGGGGATGTTAGATGAAATCCTTCATCTTAAATTCATACCAAACTGCGCAATCTTTGAGTTCGATTTTAGAATTGCGCTTTCTACTTCAATGATCAACATTGTTTGTTGTTTGTACAAGATGGCGGATAGTGGTATCAAATCTAATAGAGAAAAGCATTCAAACACAATATTCGATCTAACAGTCCACGCCAAAGCCATCTAAAGCCACAATTTCTGTATAAACGAAACGATGATCAAGAAAACCGAATTTGCGCAAAGAACCATTGAAAATAAAGCAATTAAAGTGTAAGAGCGTGGGAACACATTTGCGTCATGGATAGGTAGCCATGAGATGCAATTTAGCTGAAGGCCAAGTTGATGGATATCGACTCCAGCGGACTTTCCCTTACAAATGGAGAAAAGGCAGTAATTTTTTTATTCCAGTTTAACAGACTCATATGCATAACAGCAAAAAAGGACCTATAATAAATTAGTATACGAAGTACGCAGACGCAACTTTGTCGCCACGCGGTAAGGTTACTTTCATCGCGTCTCACTATTAAAAGCACTGATCTGGCTTCAGCCATAATAAAGTTGAGATCTACCTTTGCTGGTCGCTGTGTGTCAACTTGTTAGTACACTACAGCCACTGAAAATTATGCCACCAAAACCAACGCCGAATACCCCTCCAGATCCGTGGCCGAGACCAAAGCCATCAAAGCCAAAGAAGGGCTGAAATCGACTCTGTTAAGGATTTGAAAAGGTCGGCAACAAATTTCAGCTTCATCCACTCAGTATAATTTGTTGCAACATTTCGCACCACGAGTCACTGATATTCTTACTCACTTATTTTTAACTTTGTTGTGCGTTCCTCTTAAAACAAATGACAAAAATGATGAACAATGAAGCTCATATATTATTGTGATCGACCGTTCTTGCTGTCGAGAGGAGAGTGCACGAGCTAATGGCGAACCATCTCTCTAAAATGCCCGGAAGATCCAACGCAACCGCAAATATTATCCGCCACAAGTTAAGGACGCAAAAAACAAGTCCAAAGATCTACCACAGCTCTTAACAGAGGTACACGCGGTCTTCAGCCGCAACACTTTCTCGCAATGTTGCAAAGGACAATTGCTCGAAGTAAGCCATTACAACATGGCGACGCGGCAACAACGCGTACTAAATCTTCCTTTCAGTTGTTTTTCAGGTTGGCGCGAATGATCAGTGATTTAAAAGGTAAATTTTCGATCCTCTTTCGAAAGTCATTATTGTTTTCATATTGTTTTCTATTCTAATTCGGTTATCCGCGCCATAAGCGAAAGATTCAACCCTGTAACAAAATAAACGTTATTGTGTAACAAAATAAACATTATTGCGTAATTTCTTCGTTTTGGCATACACTAAGACGTTGGAAATAGTTCTAGCGAGTGTAGCAAAGTTATCTCTCGTTCCTGAATTCAAACCTATCCCTACCGAGGTCAAACAAAATCGATAGCACAGAAATTCGAGAAGGCACGACAGGATGTCTCAAAATGGGTTATTTACCAGATATATTGGAAGGAATATTGTGGCACTAATCAAGAGAAGCACTACTTCCATCGACGTTTTAAAGGCATCGGTAAATAGACCCGTTGGCGCCCGAAAAATTGGAAATGAAACTGAGAGAAATATGCAAAATACTTCAAATGGGAAGTCAGCCCAGTGGTGATGATTCCAAAATAGGTTAGTTCATAAATATTCGCGAGATTTTACCGCGCAATGGAGTTCAGGTATTGAAGTTATCTAGCGTTAAATTGCTGCAGGGCCAGCGAATTCGTTTGAATTGCTTTTGTATAGGAATGAAGAAACTCAAAACAATTTTCACGCGCATTTAAAGATGATTACGTTTTTTGCGCAAATGGAGATTTAAGATATTTCAAAACAAGAACACCTCGAAGAGCTGCTTTGTTTGCACTTAATTATACGCGATGAGAGTTAATTTCGATCATTCACTTCGTCGATAGTTTCTCATACGAGGCGCAAAGTTTAAAAGAATTTCGATATGTCTGAGTGCAGATATGAATGAAACAAATTTTGACCCGAGGCGCGTTCATTGTTTTTTATCACAACTAACTGACGCAACCGAACAACCCACCTTTGAGGAAGATGAATGATGAGAAAATGACATGGACAGCCCGGTTTTTTTTTGCGGTAAAACCAAATTTTGCTTGGTTGATCGATTGAGCGTAATCGGCGAGGTGGGGAGAAATAGGATAATTCACAGACATCTCTACTTAGCGCAAAAATCTGTCTTTCGACCTTGTTGAAACATTATACTCGAAACAAGTCAAATATGATTCGAAAAAGAAACTGTCTTCCAAAATTCTTCGTAAGCACGCTTGGTAAGCAGTTTTTTGCGCTCAAACTTAACAGCTATCAAGATCGTACATGTGATTCTTCGGTTTCGGTGCGTCTCGCTATAAATAGCACTGCTATAAATAGTTGAGCGTCTACCTCTGCTGGTCTCTGTGAGTCAACTTGTTCGTACAATTCAACCACTGAAAATTATGCCACCAAAACCAACGCCGAATCCCCCTCCAGATCCAAAGCCACCGAAACCAAAGTCACCGAAACCAAAGCCGAAGAACGCCTGAAATCGACTCAGTTAGGGATTAGAACAGGTCTGCAACAAATTTCGTCTTTGTCCACTCAGTATAAATTGTTGCAACATTTCGCGCCACGAGTCATTGATATTCTTACTCAATTATTTTTACCTTTGTTGTGCATTCCTCTTAAAGCAAATGACAAAAATGATAAAATATTTAGCTTATATTATGGTGATCGAACTTTCTTGGGGTCGAGAGGAAATTTTTGACGTGCTACTGGCGAACCAGCTCTCTAAAATGCCCGGAAGATCCAGCACAACCGCAAAAGTTGTCCGCGACGCAAATTATAGAAGCGAAAAACAAGTCAAAAGATCTAACACAGCTCTTAACAGAGTACACGCGGTCCTCAGCAGCAACGCTTTCTCGCGATGTTGCGAAGAATAACTGCTCGAAGTAAACCATTACAACATGGCGGAAATCTTCCTTCATCCATCGCTCAACACTTACTAAATCTTCCTTTCACTTGTTTTTCAGGTTGGCGCGAATGATCAGTGATTTAAAAGGTAAATTTTCGATACTCTTTCGAAAGTGATTATTGTTTTTATACTGTTTTCTATTCTAGTTCGGTTATTCGCGAAATAGGCGATAGATTTAACCCTCTAGAAAGGGTGCTTAGCATAACAAACCATTTCTTAATGTATTTGGAACCAGAATTGTTTAATCTCTTCATGCCAGTAGCAAAATACACATTATCGCGTGATTGCCTCGTTTTGGCTTACACTAAGACGTTGGAAACAATTCTGTCGAGTGTAGCAATGGTTTCTGAATTCAAACCGACTCGTTTACCATCCGTTCAGGCTACTGTATTCATTGTTAACCATACTTAATTAGATTTCCTCGCCTTTCAGAAGCCAAAGACCAAGTTTAGAAGGAGGAATAATGAAGCCCTTTTGCACAAGGACTGATGTAGTTTCTCGTGTTCAATTACTTGTAGTTGTCACTATTTGTTCGCGCTCCGAAGCCTAACGCAAAATTGTTCCCTCGTATAGCGAAGGCAATTGTAGTCGAGCTGGAGTTTGCAGATGATTACGATTTTCAAAAAGTTTATTATCATAGTTCGTTTGGGTTAGTTCTTAGTTGGGATTCTCACTTCTAAGAGATTTCACAATCGAGTATTTCTTAACCTTAGACACTTTTGGAATGTATGATTTCTGGTGCTGTTTATTTGACCTACATTCGATCACAAAGCATTGTAACATTTCAGTCATCATTCTGCTCGCAGAGAGAAAGCAGAGGAACTGATGTAAAAGATCTGACAGAGATAGAGTCAATAAACATTATAACAAAAGTAATTTGAGTTGTGTTCTTGTTCCTGAGTTATTAGCGGTGTTTCTGCTGTAGATATCCGAGACTAAGTATCCCTACCGATGTCAAACAAAATCGATAGCACAGAAATTCGAGAAGGCACGACAGGATGTCTCAAAATGGTTTATTTACCGGAATATTGCCAGGAATATTGAGGGCTACAGTCCACGGCATTAATCAAGAGGAGTACCACTACCGTCGACATTTTAAAGGCATCAGTAAACAGACTCATTGGCGCCCAAGAAAGTGGAAATGAAATGATATTGAGCGAAATATGCAAAAATACTTCAAACGGGAAGTCGGCCCATGTGGTACAGATTCCAAAATTAGGTTAGGCCATTCATATTTACGAGATTTTACCGCGAAATGAAGTTTAGGCATTGAAGGCGGAGCTATCTAGGGTTAAACTTCAGTAGGCTGGGAAATTCGTTTGAATTTCCTTTGAATAGAGGTAAAGAAACTCAAAACAATCTTCACGCGCATTTTAAGATAACGATTACGTTCTTTTGCGCAAATGGAGATTAAAAAAATGTCAAAGCAAGACTTTAGTGAAGGGCTGCTTTGTTAGCACTTATTGTGCGCGATATAATAGTTTACTTCGATCATTCACTTCTTCGACAGTTTCTCATACGAGGTGCAAAGTTTGAAAGATTTCCGTTTTGTCTGAGTGCAGATATGAATTGAACAAATCAGCTTTGACCCGAGGCGTGTTCATTGTTTTTCATCACAACTGACGCAACCAAACAACCCACCTAAGAGGATAACAAATGATGAGAAAATGACAAGGACGGCCGCGTAAAAACCAATCGGTAAAACCAATTTCAGATATGTGAATACAATCAACTGTCAAATATGGAAGTATGACGTGAGAGTCTAATTCGTGGGAAAAAACTAGGCAGGCATAAAACGCGCTATCATATCAAACAGGCAAACTCGTTTTCGACAGTCAATAAGTTCTCACAAACTTGATTCTACCAAGGAGATGTCGGGCGGTTCTGGAAATACGACAAATGATGCAAGTTATGGTAATGCTTGTGAGCCTTGACTTAAACTGCTATAATCACGATCTGCCTATTCTTGTTTTATTATTCTGCTTTTCGACATAACCAACCGTTTATTTTACCTTCATTTTCAGGATGTTGTTGCTGCTGTATTCTGTAAACAGGCGCTCTTGGGGTAAGCTTAACTTAAATTCAGAAGTCCCACTTAGTGTGGGTTTCAGTCGTTCGTTCAATATGGCGGCGTAACACAACAGCGTTTTCAATAGACTCAGTTTTCTGCCTCGCGGTCTACTTTCTAATCTCGCGGTCCTCGGCTTTTCTCGAACTCAATTCTCGATTCAAGGGGATGCTAGATCAAATCCTTCGTCTTATATTTACGCATCAAGCTGTGTAATCTTTGAGCTCGATATGAGAATTGCGCTTTCTACCTCAATGATCAACGTTGTGCGTTGTTTGTACAAGATGGCGGATAGTGGTATCAAATTTAACAGAGAAAAGTATTTAAACACAATATTCGATCTAACAGTCCACGCTTAGGCCATCTAAAGCCACAATTTCTGTATAAACGAAACGACAATCAATAAAACTAAATTTGCGCAAAAAACCATCGAAAATAAAGCAATTTAAGTGTAAGAGCAAGGGAACACATTTTTATCAGGGATAGATAGCCATGAGGCGCAATTTGGCTGAAGGCCAAATTGATGGACATCGACTCCAGCAGAGTTTCCCATATAAAATAGAAAGAGGGTAGTTGTTTTGTGATTCCAGTAAAACAGACTCATATAAATAACAGCAATGACATTGTGGAAGAAAGACATTTGTGGGCAAAACAGAGCATAACAATTAGTTTTGAAATGTCAATCAAAGTCACATGGGTGAAAAAGCGCGCGCAAAGACTATGGAAAAGCGTGAGGCGGTTAGTTTTGGTTTCACTGTAGAACTCTGAGGAGACAAGCATCAACAGTTTGTAGAAAGAATGCCCAAAGCAGGACCGAGTGGTAATTCCACTCGCGATGCGAGTTATAAAAAGAGGAACAAAGCAAAGAAAAAGAAGCCAAGGAAAGGAGCTGTTCAAAAAAAAACAACAAAAACTGGACGTAAAGCGCCACAAGCGAATAAAAGTCGCAGTAAAAGTCGCGCTAAAGGTAAATACCGAACTTAGTCATGATATTGATTCGTTGCATTTTTCACTTCTCCCAAGCTGACTCTCTTGCCTCTGTATTTCAGGTTGGTGCAGCAGTCAATAAAAGGTTAGTTTTAATCAATTTTTGAAAAACGATTCATGAATCGTCATTTTACTATTGTCTATATTTTTCTTGTAAATCGTATATTCCCAAAATAAGCTGGGTATATTTCAACTCACTTGAAAGAGCTGTTAGCCATCTAAACCGCACGTTTCTTTTCCATTCATAAAGGTAAGCAATAAAACATGACTGTGGTTGATTGTATATCATTGGAAATTCATATTCCCTGCTCGAATTTAGATAGCAATGTTCGGGCTAAGAGCCAAAGCAATATGTCTACTCAGAGGGAGAATCAGTTGCTCTCCTTCGCATTCCACATAAATGGATAGGAGTTCAATGAATGAGCAAAATCTCTGTGCTAGATAAACTAATTGCGTAAAAGATTTTCGCTTTAGAAGGCGTCGATTATATAAGCAGAAGCTACGAAAGCGCAGAAAAAAATATATCACACATAATGCTGTTGTGATTGACCCTTCTTGTTGAAAACAAGAGTTCAAGAGGTACTCTCTTTGTATCGCTAAGAATCATACCTTAAAAATGCCTAGAAGATCAAACGGAACAACAAATTTTGCCCGCGAAAATGATAATAAATGCAAGAAAAAACTGGAAAGATCTATTAGAGCTGTTTGTAGATGACGTAGGCTGCTTGCATTATATCTCAACAATGTACTCTTGTGACGTAAGCCGCATGCTTTATAGAGTTATAATAAACTCGTTCTGACCAATCACGGCACGTGCATTTCTCTGAATATTTTAATAATTGAGCATAAAATCGCGTCAGTTGAAAAAACTTTGTCAGATACATTTGTGGCGGACAAGTTGGCGCGCGATTATTTTTCTTAAAACTTCAAAATGTCAGGAAAATCACGGGCAACGGGTAACTCTTCTCGTGACTATGGTTATCAGAGAAAGCAAAGAAAGAGGGCAAAGAATAAAGCGCACAAGAGGAAGAGCATCCAAAAAAAAGGTCAAACTTTGAAAGTGCTGGAACAAGTTGTGTACCTCCTTCGAGGACAAAGAAAAGGTCTTCTGTCTCTTTCTAATTTGTTTTGCTTTTTTCATTCATTACTGCACTACTGACATTCTCCCTGCATCTTTATTTCAGTTTACCTCGAGCATTGCACCATTCAGTAGATAAGGTGGGTTTTATGTTTCTATTTAAAAAGTGAAAGTGATTCAGTCCCGTTTTGTGCTCTAACTCACCATAAAATTGCGCGCCACAAAGCTTCAGTTTCACCGCCACTTCATTTGTACATTTATCGATGTTTCTATACGATAAAAAAGGCCCCTAAGTAAAAGTTGTGTAGTCAGATATTTCCTCTAAGAATTGCGCGCTAACAGAACACGCTTCCTGACTGCAGCTTCAAGCGGTGACAAAGCAAAATCTTCACTTATATTCATTGCTTAAAATCAGTGATTCCAACGAATTGTTTAACCAAAGTGGCATGCTTTTCTTGGTGGTAATTACATCATTAGTGAAAACTGAAACGCACAAATCCTCTACAAAAATCCTAAAAAATTGTAAAGAATTTAAAACCATCTCAGGTAACAAAAGCAAAATACAAGATATCCTCAGCGCAGATGATCATCTTCACTGCCACAAAGCTTGTATGCGGATTTAAGGTTTTGATAACGCAAAGCTATATGAACATTTTTAAGTAAACACACTGCATTCTTCATGTCTTTCAGGAACATCGCGAAAGAAAAGGACAGAGAGAGTTGATGACGATCTTGAAGATGCTTCAAGGAACTGAACTTTTATCTCTTTGAACTGTTCCCTGCTGTTTACGCAATCAAGCATTAGATGTCAGAAGAACAACAATATTAACAGTAGAAAGACTGTGTAGTTTTTTTAAGTTCCTGCAAGTATTTTAAGTTTTTTCTAGGTTTCCCTATGTTTCTTACTTAGCTAAGCGAAAGTTTCTTTTTTAACATTTACACTCTTGTACTAGGATAGGAATAAATGTAACACTTTTTTCTTTGTGCAGGAAAATTTGGCTTGCTATGTTTTTACTCGACATACTCCTTATTGTAAGATAAAGGATGCCTCCAATTTAGAAAAATGCCTCACTTTAGGCAAGACTTTTCCATGAGGCAACTCCATGATTTTGGAAAGCTAACCATCAAAGCACTGTCTGTCAAAAATTTTGGTATTATAGGCTGAATTATAAGCGCCTAAAACTCAGTTGGCAAAACAGACATCATTTGATGTCGAGCACGCTCCAAATGCGTTCTACGATATCTTGCGCGCATCTATCGATTAGTTATTTTATCCTAACCGACCAAACGCCGTTTAAAAATCAAAGACCAAAAATTTGCGAAACAAGGTTTACTAATGACATTGACCACGAACCTTGTTATAAGATTTCTAACCATACCTGAGGGCATATGTTAGTAAAACAACGGCCAACTGCCGCGCAAATTTTTAATGAAAACCAAGTAAGCGCCAGCGTTTAGGAAAAACAGACTCCTGCAATATAGCTCAGATCTCAACCCGCGTATTTTGCTGTGCCCATATAGCTTGCGCAACCACATTTGCGGTAAAACATGAGACAAACGAGCCAAGGAAATTTACTGTCGATTTCTGGAAGACTTCTCTAAGATAAACAAATCGGAAAAGGTCTGATGTGCTACACTGGTTACCAATGTTTTCTTAAGGAAATTTCAAAACACTTATATTTAGCACCCAGCGATCTGATTCGCTACAATTTGACAGCATGAAAATTGTAACTCAGTGAATTGTGCATCGTTAATCAGTCAAATCAAGATTCCGTCAGTTTCGGCGCGCTGTACTATAATAGTCTTTATGTCAATCAGTGAAGCTTTCAGCTGACATTCGAGGAACTGCAGACTTGTTATTCTATCCTTAACTTAAGCCTTGACATGCCTGGTAAATCATGCGTATTTTGAAACTCGACAAAGGACACTAGCTACCATCGCCAAGCAACCAAGTCTTGTAAATGCAAAGACGACTATAAAAACTTTCATTTCGCGAAGGTTCTCCGAAACTGGCTTTGAAACGCTTGCAACCAACAAGAAAGTTCGCTTCCTTCACCTTTGCAGTTTCGTGTAGTCATATGTTTTGCTCGATGATTCAAGGTAAGTTTTCAGGTCTTACTGATCAACATTTTTGCAAAAGCCCTTCTTTTCCCACAACCTCTCAATCGCTGTGTTCAACATGGCGGATGCGATCCTTCCACTATCCACCAATCGCTTTAAATTGAACTTTGTAGCATTTTAACGGAAGAATTTCATCGAAACTGACTAGAGAGATCTCTCACGAAAAGATTAGTACGTTTGTAAAGCATGAGTGCCGAGCAGTTTCATTTTAGCGGTCAAAATTCTTTGCGACGGACGACACAATGCCTATTTCTAGCAGGAGGTTGCATAAATTTGGAGCGCGGTCACTTCATCAACTTGCGTCAACAAGATTTAAAGGCACTCCAAAAGGTACTCTTACCAAAAGATAGTCGAAACGCTAGCACAAAGCAGATTTTAAAATTTGTTATTCACAGTAATCCTGAGTTAAAAAAAATTGCTCGCTACATGGTTTCTGGTGAACGAAGTCACGCTTTTGAAGTTTCAAGGCGACAATTTTCCTCCACGTCTAACGTGTGCGAATAGCGCGCCCTGTTCTGAAAGAAAAAAAACGGGAACAGCTACGCAAAAAGCATGTTATCACGATTCTAAAAGTGTGCATTAATCTGAAACATCCAGGAATGATTCCGCAAAGATTTCACCACCAAGTCACAGCAAAAAATGCGTTACGAAAATTACAATTGATGTTTCAAAAATGAGAATCACTAGAAATTAGTGACGCGATCATGCTGGTCAGAGGTTAAGTATCGTAAAAATCACGTGCCCATGATGGTGCGAGTTAGTTCTGCACGTTAACAGAGTCCCATAATTCATGATAAACTGGGTATTTCCGTGATCCCTAAACACGTTTGTTAAAGCTCCTGCAGTTAGAAATTCTGAAAAAAAAGGAAGGTGAAAAGAAAGAAACATGCCCCCTAAAAAGATTGAACGCGACGTGACACCAAATACCAACACTAAAGAAGCAATTTATAAAACACCTAGCCAGACCCAAAACTGTCCCTGCGGAAACAATGCACAGGTTCAAAAAAAGGATGAGAAAAAAGCCAAAAAATAGTGGACAGGTAAGTAAGATCTTTACTACTTGAACTTTTGATTTTGAAAATTTTCAAGCAAAATTTCTCTCGCAAAATCCTTTTCTGCTTCGAAGGCAACTCGTTTGTTCAAAATGGCGGTCAGCTTCGATCGCCACGTGTCAGAGCGAGTTATCAAGTTGGAGAAAAATGTATTCAGTTTTGGCCTTCACCTAAGTTTTCTCGAATTCCACCGTTCATTTAGAAATCTGAAGTAAATCGGTACTCGAACATGCCTGAGCTACATATCTAAATTCTGTGTGAAACTAGAAAATTTTTACCTCGTGCGTCAATGGACGAGACTCAGACAACCACATGGTTTGAGTTCATCGACGAAGAAGTATCTCAATAACATCATGCCCACGGTCGTATTTCTTTAAATATTTCTGGCATATTCAACGTGCTTCTTTTTCTCAAATGTTACTTTGGCGAATCCTTTTATCTGACAAGGTTAGAAGTTTGCTTATTTAAAAACCATAAGTAATTTTTGTTGTGTTCATTTGCCGCTCAAACCTGGTCTCATAAAAGTTTCGAGCTATAACACCGCAGTTTCCTATTTTTGGACAGGCTTGTTTGCGCGAAGGGGGCATTTCGTCGCTGCTTTCGATTCTATACACCATTTCAGTTCGTGCTAGTGCGATATTTATTGAACAAGAAATGTCGAAGGGTTTCATTCTACCATATTCGCTTGGAATGCATCAACCCAGAGCCTCACTCAAAGATAACTTAAGCAAATTGTTATACGAACTTTCGTGGTATTCATCGCCTTAAATCACTCGGTGTATTATCCTATGAAAATTTCTTCTTTGCAAACCAAATTTTACCAAAGTACAATCGATCATTTTAACTCTGGAAACGTTTATAGTTAATTTGATAATACATGCTTCAAAATGGCGGAATGAGTGGCAGTTATATCCACTGCTTCTTTATATCTTATCTGTTTCATCGCAAATGAAATTCGATTGAAAATTCACATTACATGCACAAAGATTATTTACTCTTATGAAATTCTGCTAAATGTTTATTCTAAAGTTGCAAATAATGTCTCAAAAACGTTACACGAAACATGATGCAAAAGGAAAGATGAGACCTTCTTCTTTACAGCAGAAAATCTTTGTTGTTTTGACTCTTAAATAAGTTGTTGTACAAATCTGTGCGCCTGTGACAATTTTATTTGATCCATTCTATGAACTATCTAATGATGTGAAGCGACTTAATCATGGGCAAAAGATCTGTTTCGATGTTTTGAGTGCACGAAATGTGTAGGCTTCCATTGACACCACAGTTTTTATCTTCTATTTCTTTTTCAAGAAGGATATTTTAGATGTATCAATATTATGATGCATAGAGTAACATTTGTAACCAGTACTTTGTAGGTTGGTGAATCTCGTATGAAGAATAACTGTGTATACTTAGAACAATGACCATTATAATCTGTTTAGGACAACTTTGTGTGTTATTCATCTGAGTGCTGTTTGAATTTGGGGGGAGAAAAGTAAACTTTTACAGTAAAAGTTGATAAATTCCTATATTCTTTTCTCTATATTCTGATAAATGGTCTATTGATTTCGTGGAGATGTTATTTATCATATCATCTTTCTCTATGACAGCCTGGGTAAAAAATATTTCACATTATCATGAAAATCAGTGATTCCAAAGAGTTATTTAACCAAAGTGCCATGCATTTCTTGGCCGTAATTATATCATTAGTGAAAGCAAACTTTACAAAATCTTAACTACTGAAAATAATTGAAAACCATCCCAGATAGCAAAGGCAAAATACAAGATATCCTCGGCGAAACTGCAGATGAACATCTTCACTGCCACCAAGCTTGTACGCGGATTTAAGGTTTAGATAACTCAATGCTATAAACATATTTAAGTAAACGCACTGCATTCTTCATGTCTTTCAGGAACATCACGAGGGACGATGAAGATCTTGAAGATGCTTTAAGAACTGAACTTTTACCTCTTTGTGCTGTTCTTTTGCTCTCTACTTAATGAAGAATTAGTTGTTACAAGGACAAGAATATTAACAGTAGAAAGACTGTGGTATTTTTGAAGTGTCTGCAAGTATCTTATGCGAAAGCTATTTGTTTACTTGTTTAGGATGTCACTAGATATTACAAGGACATGAATATTAACAGTTGATTAGTTGTTACGTTTTTTCTAGGTTTCTCTGACTTTCTTAGTAAGCGAAAGCTGCTTTTTAAACAAAAAAAATTTAGGTATTCTAGGCTGAATTATAAGCGCCTAAAACTCAGATAGCTCACTCATTTTGGCTACGAAATTACAAAACAGACATCATTTGATGTCGAGCACGCTTGAAACCTTGTTCTACGATATTTTGCGCGCATCTATCAATTAGTTATTTTATCATAAGCGACCAAGCGTCGCTTAAAAATCAAAGACCAAAAATTTGCGAAACAAGTTTTACTAATGACATTGACCACGAACCTTGTTAGAAGATTTCTAACCATACCTGAGGGCACATATTAGTGAAACAACGGCCGACTGCCGTGCAGATTACAAGGAAAAACAGACTTCTGCAATATAGCTCAGATCTCAACCCGCGTATTTTGCGGTGCAAATATAGCTTGCGCAACCACATTTGAGGTAAAACATGAGACAAGCGAGCCAAGGAAATTTACTGTCGATTTCTGGAAGACTTCTCTAAGATAAACAAATCGGAAAAGATCTGATGTGCTACACTGGTTTCCAATGTTTTCTTAAGGAAATTTCAAAACACTAAAATTTAGCACCCAGCGATCTGATTCGCTACAATTTGACAGCATGAAAATTGCAACTCAGTGAATTGTGCATTGTTAATCAATCTACTTAAGATTCTCGTCAGTTTCGCCGCGCTGTACTATAATAGTCTGTGTGTCAATCAGTGAGGATTTCAGCTGACATTCGAAGAACTGCAGACTTGTTATTCTATCCTTAACTTAAGCCTTGACATGCTTGGTAAATCATGCGTCTTTTGAAACTCGACAAAGGACACTAGCTACCATCGCCATGCAACCAAGTCTTGTAAATGCGAAGACCGCTATAAAAACTTCCACTTCGCGAAGGTTCTCTAAAACTGGCTTTGAAACGCTTGCAACCAACAAGAAAGTTCGCTTCCTTCACCTTTGCAGTTTCGTGTAGTCATATGTTTTGCTCAATGATTCAAGGTAAGTTTTCAAGTTTTACTGATCAACATTTTTGCAAAAGCCCTTCTTTTCCCACAACCTCTCAATCGCTGTGTTCAACATGGCGGATGCGATCCTTCCACTATCCACCAATCGCTTTAAATTGAACTTTGTAGCATTTTAATGGAAGAATTTCATCGAAACTGACTAGAGAGATCTCTCACGAAAAGATTAGTACGTTTGTAAAGCATGAGTGCCGAGCACGAGACAATGCCTATTTCTAGCAGGAGGTTGCATAAATTTGGAGCGCGGTCACTTCATCAACTTGCGTCAACAAGATTTAAAGGCACTCCAAAAGGTACTCTTGCCAAAAGATAGTCGAAACGCTAGCACAAAGCAGATTTTAAAATTTGTTATTCACAGTAATCCTGAATTTAAAAACTGCTCGATACATGGTTTCTGGCGAACGAAGTCACGCTTTTGAAGTTTCAAGGCGACAATTTTCCTCCACGTCTAACGTATGCGAAGCGCGCCCTGTTCTGAAAAAAAAAAGGGAAACAGCTACGCAAAAACCATGTAATCACGATTCTAAAAGTGTGCATTAATCTGAAACATCCAGGAATGATTCCGCAAAGATTTCATCACCAAGTCACAGTAACAAATGCGGTACAAAAATTACAATTGATGTTTCAAAAATGAGAATCACTAGAATTAATTAGTGACGCGATCATACTGGTCAGAGGTTAAGTATCGTAAAAATCACGCGCCAATGATGGTGCAAGTTAGTTCTGCACGTTAACAGAGTCCCATAATTCATGATAAACTGCGTATTTTCCGTGGTCCCTAAACACGTTTGCTAAAGCTCCTGCTGCTAGAGGTTCTGAAAAAAGGAAGGTGAAAAGAAAGAAACATGTCCGATGACGAAGAAAAAAAAAAAAAACAAAACAAAAGCGTAGTGACAGCTAATACCAAAACTAAAGATGCGGATTATCGAAAGACCCAACAGACAAGTTCCGCCAGAAAAGATGAACAAGTAAAAAGAAAAGAAAAGGACAAAGAAAAAGACCGAAAAAAAGACAGAAAACAAGACAAAAAAAAGTAGTAAACGGGTGAGTAAGATCTTTACTACTTGAAATTTTCATTTTGAAATCATCAGTTCTTTTTTCAAGCAAGATTTCTCTCGCAAAATCCTTTCCTGCTTCGAAGGCAAGTCGTTTGTTCAAAATGGCGGTCGGCTTCGATCGCCACGTGTCAGAGCGAGTTATCAAGCTGGAGAAAATTTATTCAGTTTTGGCCTTCACCTAAGTTTTTTCGAATTCCACCGTTCATTTAGAAACCTGAAGTAAATCGGTACTCAAACATGCCTGAGCTACATATCTAAATTCTGCACGAAATTGGAAAATTTTTACCCCGTGCGTCAACGGGCGAGACTCAGACAACCACATGGTTTGAGTTCATCGACGAAGAAGTATCTCAATAACATCATGCCCACGGTCGTATTTTTTTCAATATTTCTGGCATATTCAACATGCTTCTTTTTCTCAAATGTTACTTTGGCGAATCCTTTAATCTGAAAAGGTTAGAAGTTTGCTTATTTAAAAACCATAAGTAATTTTTGTTGTGTTCGTTTGCCGCTTAAACCTGGTCTCATAAAAGTTTCGAGCTATAACACCGCAGTTTCCTCTTTTTGGACAGGCTTGTTTGCGCGAAGGGGGCATTTCGTCGCTGCTTTCGATTCTATACACCATTTCAGTTCGTGCTAGTGCGATTATTGAACGAGAAATAATAATGTCGAAGGTTATCCTTCCACCATGTTCGCTTGGAATGCATCAACCCTGAGCCTCATTCAAAGATAACTTAAGCAAATTGTTATACTAACTTTCGTGGTATTCATAGGCTTAAATCACTCGGTGTATTATCCTATGAAAATTTCTTCTTTGCAAACCAAATTTACCAAAGTACAATCGATCATTTTAACTCTGGAAACGTTTATAGTTAATTTGATAATAAATGCTTCAAAATGGCGGGATGAGTAACAGTTATGTGCACTGCTTCTCTCTCTTATCTGTTTTATCGCAATTGAAATTCGATTGAAAATTCACATTACATGCACAAAGATTATTTGCTCTTAGGAAATTCTGCTAAATGTTTATTCGAAAGTTGCAAATAATGTTCTAAAAATGTTATACGAAACATGATGCAAACAGCAGTCACAGAAAGCAGTTTGTCATAGTTCTGTGAATGGCAGACATCTTAACTGACAAATAAAAGCTTATTTCAAGCTCCTGACGTAACTCTTAAGTGGGAATACTCATGCCCACATTTCTGTGACCAGAGTAAATAACATCAGAACAGTAAAATGAAATTGTGATTTAATATGTTCCTCGATTTCTACCGCACCCAAAATTATTCCGTGTTACTTCGAGCGTGAAAAAATGTAGTGCTTTTTTTCTGCATGGTAATGTTTCACTACTTAAGAATGAGAGATAAAAAATAATAATATTTCAATGACTTTTTAATAACCAGGCTTGTATAAGAGAATAATTTATGAAACCTTGAAGACAAGGAGAGGCGAGGCCTTCTGCTCTACAGTAGAAAATCTTTGTTGTTTTGACTCTTAAATAAGTTGTTGTACAAATCTGTGCCTGTAATAATTTTATTTGATCCATGCTATGAACTTTCTAATGATGTGAAGCGACTTATTCATGGGCAAAAGATCCGTTTCGATGTTTTGAGTGCAAGAAATGTGTATGCTTCCATTTTTTTTTTAGGAAGGATGTTTTAGATGTATCAATATTATGATTCATAGAGTAACATTTGTAACCAGTACTTTGTAGGTTGGTGAATCTCGTAGGAAGAAAAACTGTGTAAAACTTCGAACAATCTTCATTACAATTTTTTTAAGACAACTTTGTGCTGTTAGGATTAAAGGGAAAAAAGTAAACTATTACAGTCAAAGTTGATAAAATCCTATATTCCTCTCTCTATATTCTGATAAATAGTATATTGATTCTGTGGGGATGTTATTAATCATATCATCTTTCTCTATGATGGCCTGGATAAAAATATTTCACATTATCATGAAAATCAGTGATTCCAATGAATTATTTAACCAAAGTGCCATGCATTTTTTGGCCGTAATTATATCATTAGTGAAAGCAAACTTTACAAAAATCTTAACGATTGAAAAGAATTGAAAACCATCTCAGGTGGCAAAAGCAAAATACAAGATATCCTCGGCGAAACTGCAGATGAACATCTTCACTGCCACCAAGTTTGTACACGGATTTAAGGTTTTGATAACTCAAAACTATATAAACATATTTAAGTAAACGCACTGCATTCTTCATGTCTTTCAGGAACATCACGAGGGATGATGACGATCTTGAAGATGCTTCAAGAGACTGAACTTTTACCTCTTTGAACTGTTTTTTTTGCCCTCTACTTAATCAAGAATTAGATGTTACATTGACAAGAATATTAACAGTAGAAAGACGGTGTAGTTTTGTCAAGGTTCTCCAAGTATCTTATGCGAAAGCTCCTTGTTTACTTGTTTAGGATGTCACCAGATATTTTACAAGGACATGAATATCAACAGTAGATTGGTTGTTAGGTTTTTTTCTAGGTTTCCTTATGTTTCTTACTTCGTGTGCGAAAGCTATTTTTTCAACGTTTGCACTTTTGTAATAGGATGAGACTAAAAAATGGAATATTCTTTACTGTGAGATAAAGGATGCCTCGAACTTAGAATTAATTTCTCATATTCGTGAAACAACGGCTGACTGCTGCGTACATTACAATGAAAACCAAGAAAGCGCGCAGCATTTGGGAAAAACAGACTTCCGCATTATAGCTAAGATCTCAACCCGCGTATTTTGCGGAGCAATTATAGTTTGCGCAGCCACATTTACGGTGAGATATGAGAGACAGGCGAGCCATGGAAATTAATTGTCTGTTTCTGGAAGACTTCTCACAAACAAACAAATTAGCAAAGGTCTTATGTGCTACGCTGGTAACTATTGTTTTCTTGAGGAAATTTCAAAACACTCAAATTTAGCACCCAGCGATCTGATTTGCTACAATTTGACAGCATGACAATTGCAATTCAGTGAATTAATAATCAATCAAATTAATATTCACGTCAGTTTGACCACCACCCTGTACTATAACAGTCTGCGTGTCAATTAGTGAGGCTTTGCAGTGGCCTGTTGGGTCCCAGTCGTGCTCGTTATACTCCGACGTGTTTGAAAAATAAACTCCTGGGTCGAAATCTTTTTTAGAACGACACAAACAAAATTTCCCGCAAAGATCGTCATAACCCCAGCGGCACTTCTGCTCAGATTATCGTGTTATTGAGTACAGATGCAACAATACTGAGCTGGAGCTCACGATGAAGAGACGGAAAAAATAACTTAAACACTAAACAATGGAGAGATTCCACCGGAGTAATTGGAAAACGAGAAGTGATAAAGAAGCATAATAGACATCGCGAGTGCGTGAGATGCAAGAAATTAGAGACTAAATCTTAACAAAAGTTGATCCATAGGGAAATATCGACTGTTTGTCATGCGCTTGGCACAAAGCTGTCGTTTTTTTTTTTTTCAGAATATGCCTATGGTAGGCTAGGGTATATTTTTTCAGCGGCGCCACTCTTCAAGAAAGGTAGGCTCGTAGCGGTGGAAGAAAATAGTGCACATCGTTTCAGGTTTTCCACGAAGTGGTTTGTACGAACTTAAGTTTTAGTAGATCCCACATGAAAAGGAAATGAAAGAAAAAAAGGCTTTGTAACTAGATGGTTCTTCTAGAAAGGTCTCAAGAGAGGCTATGTAAACTAATCTCTCACCATCATGCGGCAGATCAAGTAGTAGAAGCAGATCGAAAGATTAAAGAAAGATGTATTGGTGTTGTCACGAGGAAAAAATCCGAGTCTCCACGAAGAATCGAATCTCAGACCTTTCGATTCCGCGTCACAACAGAGGCTTTTCCGCTGGGCCGCAGAGAACTCTCTAGAAAGTGAGGCCATTAAATGATCGAAAGTTTGATTGAAAAGGGTAGAAAATAGGCCGACCAAAGGAGTCAAGTAAATGCACAATATAGACGAATATCAATTTGTTGATCTTTTGCATTGTGTATGTACTGAGGAGCTGTTACGCTAGTAAATATTTCACATTTGCGTAGTCCACTTCACATGAAAGTAATAAGTAAATTAAGTTCCAAATATCTTCATCAATAACAGTCTTTAAGCTCGACAACTTGGGAGCATCAAAGATTCGTTAAGAATCTTTATTTATCATTTAAACCAAACCACAGACTTCTCGCAGTGATTTGCAGTTCTCAATCTGCTACGTTGCAGCTTGTTGCAAGTCGAACTTAAAGAGTAAACAGTTCTCGTGACACCCTAACAACTATGCAATTGAATTGGAAATTAACGATTCACTCGTTAAAGTTTTATTCAGTCTTAAGAAACCAGTGTTAAGTTTTAAATCCCATAATAAGGTTTAATTTGCATTTATTTGCGTTTAATAGTTATCAAATAATTTTTATATGTATTTAAATCTTCAATCTCAAGAAGTCTCATCGACGACGGATTAACATTGTGTTCAAGTCGCCGAATCTAATTGCTTAAACAGGCGGAAGCCGCGACAATCGGAACTACTATAAACGGCTAAACAAACACCAAGTTAAATGCGCCACGAAAACTTTTGAATTTCAATTACAATCTCTGCAGATACTCCATTTGATTGTAATATTATGCAGATATCCATTGGAACTGGGGACAAGAGTCGGTAAGAGCTAACTAGGGCACAAACGGTCGACCTCGTATCAACCTGCTTGAAATTTTCATCGCGTCATAACAGCGGTCGTACGCGAAATACCGATCAATCGCACGTGAAGTTTAAAGTCGCGCACACGAAAGTTAGTAAAATTCTAACAGATTCTATTAGGGGCTTCCATCCGCGGATCATTTATACATTTGTATCTCGTGCACAAACGCGAAGTCATTGGGAAATCATTTTGCTAGCGCTTCACAATTGGCAGATGTGAACTAAATTCCGAACAAAGCCAATCAAAATTTACAAACTCTTATGTGTTAAACAACGTCACAGTTGGGAACATTTTCACACCTAGACTACCCCTCTTGGGAAACAAGTTGCAAACAATTTGCGGTTATTTTCTAACTAAACGTACCTTCATTCCTACATCTTACTAAGTCTAAACTAATCCTGGTTTAAGCAAGGACGGAATCAAGGAGTGGAGTCCTGGCATTAGGCGAACTGCAAGATGGAATTCAATCCATGAAGATCAAATCGATCGGTCTCGCAAGAATCCTAATGAAACAGGCACAAGAAAACAAAGGTTCTCATTGTGATATTAGCTATGCAAGCTATCTAAGCTTCGGTTACCTCATATCCGCCTTCCACTGTAGTTTCACATCCGTTGAGAATCCCCATTGGTGCAACTTCTTATTATTCCATGCTTTAGAAGGGAATCTTGTTAGTTTGACTCTTTTTTGAGTTGCGCTCTTGTCACAAGAAATACAACACGCCTAGCGTCGACACAGTAAATCTACAGAACTCCAGCTTAAAAGAGCAGTTATCACGACGCGTTATCAATGGTGTTTCCATAGTGATACTAATTGGCGTGGCGCGGTTTGCAGTACTCCTATTGGTTAAATCATATGACGCAGTATGCAGTGTATGACACGCGCTGCACGCGCATGTAGGTTTTCTTTTCTTCGTCGGTCTTGACCTTTGTCCAAGCGCGTTCCTTAACTTAGCGTAAAAAAAAACAACAACAAACAAAAACAAAAAACGCTTGCACACGCAGAGAACTTCAGTCTAATGCATAAACAAACAAATAGAAAACTGTAAACATTCATTTTGGCATCTCAAAATTTTGTAGAAGGCAAGGAATTTGAAGATAGACCGTGCCTTTTCCATTGCGGAGAAACAAGACGCGTTCACATCTGTCTCTGAAGCGGAATTTTTCTGAGTACCGGTAACAATTTGATTCTAAATAATTGCGACGCATTAGGGAGTATCCTTGATCCACTCCTATCTGTATACAACCTTCGACTACCATTTTAACTGGTGCACAAGATCGACTCAACCTAGTGTTTCTCGCGCGAAGCTCAAAGTTGCTGGAAAGAGTATCATTTCGATTCTATTTGGTAGACACTTGTTGAAATAGTAATTTGCAATTCGCTTATCACTGAAACATGCTCTAGTTTTGACACAACTTATCCAATTTTGTTTAACGATTACTGTTTAAAACCTTCTCCTAATGGTTAAAATTCGTCCAGTATTTTCTCCCTAAATATCACGGTTGAATTAATTTTTCTGTCCCTTCCCTCTCTCCCTTTCATCTCTTTTATCTCATACATTCCAAAAAGGCATACATATAGGCTATCAAGAATTAAGGCTCTATTATTGTTGGTATTGACATCATGTGTAGTGACTGGTCGAGTGTGATGTTGACATACAGATCAAATTACACGCTGTTCTGAAATTGTGATATACACAAACCAAATCACAATTGATTTAAACAGTCTTTGAGCAACACACGTGACATTTTTTGTTTGCCTCTGGCAAATGGGCATCATATTTAAATAAATGATTAATTAATTAACTTAAAATCTAGAAAGATTAATAGAAAGTAAGCTTTGCACCTTCCTTTGTCACATTTCATGAGCATGTGACACAGTAAACAGTTGTCAGTCAAGCAATATGAACATTGCTTATTTCACCCAATGTTTTCAAACATCTTATGCTTGAGCTATCATTTATGCCCTCAGTCAGAAACTTTATAACGATGTGGAAACAGTGTAAAGTTTGTAAACTCTTATTGTTGGCACTGAGAAGACTTAGTTTTGGTTTAAATTTAACTTAACATGGAAATTTGCTCCCTGCTCTTACTAAAATACTTTCAGAGAACTTATTCATTGGTCTGACTATTTTGGGGAAAAAAACCTGCGTTTAACATGAGTCCTTTGGAGTTTATCAGAATCAGCAAAAGTTTTGTCTTCCTTGTGATTGGGTGGCTTTTGGAGCTAATAAAAACACTATTCATTATATTTTTTGGGGGGAAGGGAGGGGTGGTTTGTTTTGGTGATGTTATTTCTTGTCTACGATGTATATAACACTTGAATACCAAGCTAAACCTATATTTCATATGTAGAAATAACTTTCATAATAATTTTTCCACAAAAGAAAAACTGCGTGCCAAAAAAATTATTGCAACAGTGGAAAAAACTTTGATTCCTGTCAGTCTTAAAATACAGTGCAACAGTCAAGATATAGCTCTATACTGTTCCCAAAATAGACAGAAACAAAACAGATATAAATAATTTTGTATTTTCATAGTTTTTTCAATGTAAATTTGCTGCAAAGGGGTCAGCTTTCATTAAGCAATCAGTCATGTTAATACTAACAAATTCAAGGGAAAAAAACTAGTTTAAGCATACATGAAGCAGGAAAGTTACAAAACACAACAAGAACATAAAATATTTTCTAACTAATCTGTCTTAAATTTGAGCCATTTTAGCACCAAGGTCATACACTTAACCCTTTAACTCCCAAGATCTCATTGGTAATTCTCCTTACAGTCTATCATACAATTCCTTTGTAGTTAATTAAGAGAATTTGGTATTGGATCAATTGTGATAATACCCCAATTGATATTTTTCCTGCTTCTCACCACTTTTTTGCTTAATATTGTACTGATATTGTAAGGAGAAATTCTGTGTTGGTCACTTATGGGAGTTTAAGGGTTAAATCATTAGTAAATGAAATAGCTGGACTGTCCTTCAAATAATGATACATCTTTCAAAACAATTTACAGGTCAATGTTAGCATTTATTCAGAATAACAGTACTTGCAAGATACTCACTTTCTGCTATTGCAACAGTCTTTATTTTCATAATATAGATGTCTTCACTTGTATAACTTTGATAAAGGAAGCATTGACTTAACTGTCAGCCACAAAGGTCTGAAGTTGTATCCCTGAAAAAAAGCAAATTAAAGAAACCATAGTATTTTTAATATGTGACTGATAACATTCAAAGAAACAATATTCTTTTTATCCAAACATCACAGAGAAATTGAATTAAATTTGCTCAGGTTTAAACTGATATTTCCTGAGTCCCTGACTCATAAAAGAAACCCAAAATTGAATGCAATTGCACTAGAGCTTTGTTACAAACTCAAATGTCAAGAGATCTCTGATGCTGGCTGAAAGAATAATCTTCTTACCTTGGAGGCAAAGATTGAGATGTAGATATCTATACTGTACAGATGCATTACAAAAAATTGTTGTTATATCTGGTAAAGTGGTTGTAGTCTTTCAAGTCTATTTTATAGAATAGTAAGCTCTCCTTCAATCCTTAACCCTTTAACTCCCAAAAGTGATTAACATGTAACTTCTCCCTATAATATCTAAACATTATCCAGCAAACAGCTCATGAGAATATTCAAACTCATCAAGTAGAAGTTGTTATCTTGATCTAACACCAAATTCTTCTAACTTATTTACAAGGGAATGTGTAGCAGCTAGAGGGGAGAATTAATAATCAGATCTTGGGAGTTAAAGGGTTAACTGTGAGGTTGTTTAGAGTATTCATAATCAATTGTCCCTGATGTTGTTCCCATCAGAGACAATCACCTTCAAGCAACCAGTATTTTTGACAAATTAAATGGTTTGAACCCAGGAGTTGATCATATATTCTGATCATCCTGTTTTATGAACAATAAGAATCTGGAACACTCTGTCAAACAAGCTTAACCTAAGTATGAACAATGTAAATAACTTCAAACGTGCTTTGATGCGTCATTATTCAACTGCACTCCAAGATATCTATGACATTGACAATCCCAGGACTTATAAAACTATCTGTACAAAATGTAATTCATGTAGCAGCCTGAAAACAACACCAACTCCATGCTGTTCATAATTATTAATCATTGATGTAATTGTTTTAATTATTTTAATACTCCTGGGACCACAGTAATTGGCTATCGCTGTTGTGGTTGCCTGCCCATTATGTTATTGTAATTTTCCCATGTTCCACATTGTATGTATAGTTGGCAAAGCTAATAAATTAAATTATCCATGTGAGAGAGGTACCAAAAAGTACTATTTGCATTAGAAGTGAGTGATGTTTCCACAGCTTGAGCAGAAATCTTCATTAGGGTAGAGGCGACTTGAAGTCAACACTTGACTCTACTGTCAAATTTTGTCCAAGTTGTTAGAATATTGTTTTTACCGTTGACAACATTCCTTTTAACAATGCTCCCAACTAACTGATCAGAGTTTACAAGATCAGTTTTAGTTATCTCACCCAAACATTTCCCAAATACCCTTTAATTTAATCCACTGACCACTATGAGAGACTAGCATCTAATTTCTCCTTAGAATATCACCCCTGATTCAAACATTAATGTCACGAGAATACAAGAAATCATCACCAACTTGAGACGCTTTTGATTGTGAAACATATTCTCCTTGTTAGCAGCTTGAGAAATGTATAATAACAGTGTGGAGAATATACATACTGATGTTAGGGTGTAAAGGGTTATTCTGTAATGGCATATGAAAGAGCCTTATGAGAGCTGACATCACCTTAATACCCCAAAGCTCAAGAACATGCCAAGTTAACATTGTCAGGAGCTATCAAAACTAAAAATGTTTAGGATTAAATGCTTTAACAATAAACTGCAGGCAATCTGCAATCCCATGCATCGCGTTTTAGTTACAATTTACTATAGTTTTCATTCAGTTAGTTTAAGTTTGATTTACCAGCGGTTCTCCTTTCGTGATTAAAGCGGCATTCGGTTATTGGTGAGGTCTGCAGTTTGCAAACTTCTCACCCCGAAATAGAGAACTTCGCTGCCAATACCGTGATCGCGATTTCTATGTAGAAATTACCTCGTTTCGTTCTTAGTAAATTCACATACTACGCCAACAATATTTACTAAATCACATTTTGTATTCTTTGTAACACTACTACTGAGAGCGTAAAGAACAGTGTAATTCACGTTATGAAATTAGGACACCAAAACTAGAGGGGATGCTCTAAAACACTGGCATCCGTAAAAGGTCTATACATCGTAAAATGACCAATGCTAAACCTGCGAAGAGCCATGAGGCCACGGTAAACATTGCAAATCTTGTGTGGTTAAAAATCTCTTGACCGTATCTAATCGTAATCAATTAAATTAAATACTCTCCAGTGGGTGAGTCAAAATAATTTTTCACAGTCGCGTTCAAATTAAAATAATGTAGGTCGTAAATTTTGCGTACTACTCGACGATTTTAAAGGCAGCATATTCATAGAGAGAATTTCCACGAGTAGTTTTTTAAATATGGGTGAGCCTGGAAGTTAAACCTTTCAGTAAGAAAACTAAGAGAAAATTTCACTCTAGCTCAAGAGATTGTACTTGTCTTGTTAAGCAGATAAAATAAACTCACCTCTCCAGCACGTTGGATCTTTCATTCAACGGCCGCCATGTTGGATTTTTTCTTTTCACTGTTCGACCAATGCGCATCAAGAACCAAAAATAGTAACAATCCGACACAACAGTAACACACGAGTCAAAACAAAAACTTGTTACCGAATTTATCTATAAATCCTTGTGTGAATCGCCTGCTTTTGTCGTTTTTTCTTCCTCTTATCTCCTTAAATCAATTTTGCCGAGAAAGTGAATATCGAATGAAATTATATGGAAGTAATCTCTTTGTTGTAACGGTTCCAATGAACGAAAACTTTTCTCCTAACAAAAGGTGACAGTCGTTGTTGTTACTCGCTGGCCAGCCTGCAAAGATACCCTTTAATGCCAAGGATAGGTGTTTTTATAAAAGTAATGGTTTTTGCATCACACTCTTTCGGATATGTCATGTAATTTGTGGATCAGTTTTTCACTTTTCATTCGCATCTTCCTAGGAAAAATTGAACCTACGAATTAAAACATGGAATCGCAAAAATATAGCAGAAATAATTTGGAAAGAAGGGTGTCTGGTTCTGTTTGTCAAAAAATCAAGGGACTGAATTTCCTGATATAAAGATAAGGAGTGAAAGTTTTAATGAAAACAAGATAATTTTAACTTCTTATCTTACATTGGTTTTCAGAAATATTTTGCCTCTTTTCATTGTGCTCAAGAGGTAAAAATCTGTCAGTTCTTACGTTATCCACGACAGTTACCGTTAACAGAATATTCCCGTAAACTTTACTCATTTTCTGAGTTTAAATTCCCACCAAATAAAGACATAATCTTCAAACTTGTTGTCTAAACTAAGGCTTTATTGTTTGCACACAAGTAACTTGTGAAATCGCCGGATAATGTTTCATGAAGTTAACGATATCATCTTCAAGGACTATCATTCTGAGACTGGATAGCGCTGACAATAAATTACACCCTTTATTTTTATAAGAAAGTCTAAGTTTGAAGCTGAGACTGAACGTTCATTCATTCATTTTTTTTTCGAACGTTCTTAACATGTTCTTAAAGTTGTGTGGTATAGTATATCAATAAATCAATTCGGACGTGAGTTAATTGTCCTGTTAGACCACAGTTTTATATTTCTTTTACCTTATTATTTTGTATTTCTCACACACACAAAAATGAGCAAAGTAAAGACGTTCTTAACTGACTCTCAGTCTGGGTATGTTCTTGAAATTTTGATTAATCTCAATCTGAACGTTCTCTAAAAAAAAAAGAATCTCATGAAAAAAAAAAAGGGTGTAAGTCGTTTGTCAGCAAAACAAACTAAACTCCAGTTCTTCAGTGGTTAGTTACGTTTATCTGGTGTGTGTATCTTTGCCTCGAGCACCCTGAGCCTGCAGTTCATTTATATGTATTTGGCAATATCGCTTAAATTCAAATCCAAAATTTCTGAGCAAATGTGCTCTCTTATGAGCTTCCTGTAATTGTCACTCTTTCCAGCCAATTCCAGCCAAGGAGCTCACTTTATGCCGCTTCGGTAAACTTTTTGTAGATGACAGGCTCGTTGATTCTATTTGTTTTATAGGGCTATCAAGAAGGTACATTCTTTACTTCATTTTCATCTGAAACACCCACATGTATATGGGATAGGAAAATGTACCATACTAAGGGTACAATTATCCACAAATCCGATTGTTTTTCAAATTTTGGTTGGTCAGAGTAAAACCCAGCACACAAATGGCTCTTGCACCTAATGGGGACCCTCGGCAGTCAGTACGGCAACACTAAGGCAAAAGTCGACTAAAACTATAATTTATTGTTTTCTTAATAATTTCACGAATGGCTGGACTTCTTTACCGTCTTTAACAGCACCAGACTCAAACTTAGGTGCAGCATATTTAAGCAGCTTTCGGTTCCAAGTAAAACACGCGAATAACGCACTGACGGGTTCCCGTCTCTCTTGTCAAGCTGAGTCTTGTCAAGCTGAGTGCCGTCCGTTTTCATGAGAAGGAGTGGATAATACATTTGACTTTTCAAAAGGGGGCTCACATTCATAGAGAGGAATTCTTCTTTAAAAAAAGAGGGCGCTGATGGAACTTATGGTAACATCAACTCAATAACAACTACTTTTCCCTCTGGCATTTAATTATAAATTAAAATCTTCAGATTTACTGGCTAACTAAGTAATTACCTGATACTTGTTAAATATTAAATAAATTAGAAGTGATTCACAACTGTGCATTACTATCAAATTTTCTACAACCTTACACTTAACGGTACTTGTATTTTAGAGACAAAACCGCATGGAAGCCTACAATAGTTATAATTATACCTGTATTAACAAAAACAGGTATAAGAAATTAGATTGAGACAATACATTTTTAAAGTGGCTATGTCAGCATATGAGCTGGCCGTTAAAGGACAATATAATTTGTTGAGATGAACATTATAACTGACATTCACTTTGCCTAATAGCCCACAGCCCATAATTAACAAGGTTTCTTTTGCCAGAGATCTCTTGACATTTTTCTGTTACAATATTTAAAGTTCTTACATCACTACATGGGTGAGCTTGGAAACCTTTACATGGCAAAATTTATACCCTAATAAACCTTTAACTCCCATGAGTGACCAACAAAGAATTTCTCCTTACAATTTCAATACAAAATCAAGCAGACAAGTGATGAGAATAAAGGAAAATCTTAATTAGGGGATTATTAGTTGATCCAAAACCAAATTCTCCAAACTAACATCACAAGAACTATATGGCAGACAGTAAGGAGAATTACTAATGAGATCTTGGGAGTTAAAGGTGGTTAAAAAGATACTCATTGTTAGTACCAGAGTACTTGGAGAATATGGATACTGATGTAAGTAATGCTGATGGAAAATCATCAACAGTCATGGCCCTATGATTGCCAAAGAACCAGAAGATACTATGATCACTGCAAAACTGCATTATGTACTTAACACCTTTTTTTTTAAACAACCCTTTCCTACACTCTCTAACCCCCAGAGGTGATTGAAAAGTAACTTCTCTCTATAACACACATACAATATCCAGCAAACAGGTTATAAGAATATTCAAATTTATCAGGTTGAAGTTGTCGTCTTGATTTAACTGCAAATTCATGTAACCAAGTTACAGGAAAATGAGTAGAAGCTAGAGAGAAAAATTAACAATCAGATCTCAGGAGTTTAGGTGTAAAGACTTTCAGTTGTTATATAGGCATATAGCATAACTGTTTAAACTGTTGAAAACTGTACAATACGTTAATTATTCTTAATTTGAGTGACATTTATAAGTGATTTTGTTTATCTATACATAACCAAACAGGCATGTACGCGGCATGTATTTTATTGCCCCCATGCAAGCTGTACTGGACTTCCTCAAACAAGAAACAGCTTGGAAAACTTGATGTGCTCATTGCTATGGAGAGGACCAAGATTCTTTGAAAATATGGACTAAGTATATAGCTGTACACAATGAATGATTGCTGACTCAATGTGAAAGCGATGTTGGGTAATAAGAAGAGGAACAATTTTAAGTATAAAATTCTTGAGCTATTGTGTATATTAATGAGGTGTCAAAAAGCTTGTACTGGTGATTTTTCCGAAAATACTGCAGCCTATCTGCCGGTAAACACAGTACATAATAATAAAATTTGTAGCCAAAAGATTACATCAGAAGTTAAATGTAAACTAAACAAATAACAAACTATTTATTCATTGTCTCTGTTGCTCCACAAAGGTCATGGCTGATATCATAGGCTGGGTAAGACCTGGGGGCAAGGACTGCACATCATCCAGAATATTGGCTGTGACATTGTTAATCCTACAAAGGAATAAAATCAATGAAAACATTTGATGAAGTTCTGGAGTCTTACTGTTACCAGCATGCCTAGCTGAGTCTTTTTTTTTTTCCTACCCTTTGACTGCTTAGAGTGATTAGTATCTAATATCTCCTTACAATATCACCCCTGAATCACACATTAAGGTCTTTAGAAACTGATCACCAAACAAATAACAAACTATTTATTCATTGTCTCTGTTGTTTAAAGAACAGGTCATGGCTGATATCATGTTAGGGTGTCAACAGGTAATGCCTTGTGCACCAAGCTTGTAAGAACATTGATTTGTTCTGCCATTGCACATTCAGGAATGCTCAGATGTTGATATTTGAGTCTGGCAACACTTGAAAATTACTGTATGCAAAAATTTAATCCTATAAAATTAGTTACGAGAATTTGGTGTAACGTAGATCAAGAAAACAACTTTAACCTGATAAGTTTGAATGTTCTCATTTCCTCTCTGTTGCATAATGTATGGATATTACTGGGAGAAGGTACATGTTAATCAGTTCTGTGAGTTAATGGTTAAAGGTATTCATGGAGAGTTTCCTTGACCTGGATGGACTAATCTGAGATTTTGGAATATGTCTTTTCTTACCATTCTTTTTGTTCATGGGGTAACCTTGGAACAGAATCTTTGTCTTTTGGTACCAGACCAGCTTTCAAACTTTTGAAATTTGACTCAATATTCTTTTTGTAGTCCATCATCAGAGTGCCAGCCTGATTTACAGATTGCTATTCACAGACAAGAGAGAAAACATAATCAGGAGCATTTAGAATGAACATACGCTTGGTACAGTGCTGTAGTTAAACTATTGACACCAGTCTATCAACATAATTGGTCAAGAGGAACAGTGCAAAAACAAATTCCCAAAGCATGGACACTTATGTTCAGTGTGGGGAACAACCCTGCAAAACAGCAAACTTTTCAACAAGCCTAATGAAGCTGACAAATATCAACCAGCCTATCACTAAGCTACTGAGCAACAAAGACGCTCTATGGTGAGCTGAGCCACTGCAATGTTGTATGCAGGACAAGTGGCATGAGCGCAACTGGGAATTACCTTCAGCTCACTGTAAAGAGTCTCTGAGACTGATTGGTGAAGCACTGATTAGGTTCACTTCCTCGTGGGACTCAGAATTTTTCCTAAAACCGATGCTTCTGAGTTTGAGGAAAAAATCATTACCAAGCTCAAAATGAACCATCTTTCTCACTCAACAAGAATTTGTTATCACTGAACTTTGCCACAATCAAAAACCAAACCTTTCTCATGATTAAGAAAGATGTTTTTTGTCTTGTCACAAGCACGGGACAAAGAAAAAATTCTGAGTCCCCATGAGGAATTGAACCTCTGACCTTCAAATTCTATGCATCAATGCTCTACTACTGAGCTACAGAGACACTACAGTGAGCAAGGTCTATTACGAAGTTCATATGACATGCATCCTGCATACTGCTAGGATCAGCAATGATTATAACCATAGAAAGTATTAAAGAAGGCAAAAAATGGTCTCAATAGCAAAACAATAGCAAAATCATTTCCTAAAATTCTGTGAATGGAATCTTCCTTACAAGAAAATATGAAAAACAAACAAAGATAATTTGGGTAATGTTTTAATTAAACAGTATCTTACATAAAGCAGCGCAGTCTGATGAGCCATGTATTTATGATTGGTGAGGTTGAAGGCATCACTGTTCAGCTGATGACTCAGTGTTATAAGCTGGTTCAACATTCCAAGGTGTGGAAAATATCCTGAAACAATAACCACAATCAACTGTGATGCAAGTCACGCTCAAACATATTTTTTTATGTTAATGTTTGATAGTTGTAATTCACATAACTAATTTTGGAATATAATTGTACACTTAGAAGAGCACATGGAGGCTTCAAATCACACTTGGAAAATTACCTCCCAAGATCTGATTGTTAATTCTCCCCTGTAGCTGCTACACATTTCCTTGTAAATTTGTTATGAGAACTTGGTGCTAGATCAAAATAGCAGCTTCTAACTGATAAGTTTGAATATTCTCATTACCTGTTTGCTGAAGAATGTATGGATGTTGTAGGGAGAAGTTTTACGTTTATTACTTCTGGGAGTTGACCCTTTCACTCCCACAAGTGACCAAGACAGAATTTCTCCTTACAATATCAATACAATATCAAGCAGGCAGGTGATGAGAATAGAGAAGAATATCAATCATGGGATGATTAGTTGATCCAATACCAAATTCTCTGAACTAACATCATAAGAATTGTATGGCAGATAGTAAGGAGAATCACTAATTAGATCTTGGGAGTGAAAGGGTTAAGAGTTGGACAATGTAAATGATTGCTTTCTATGTTATTTTTGTATTCTTAAATCTTTGGTTGTAGTATTTTTTTTTATTTGGTCCTTGATTTTTCATCATTAATTTGTCCACTATGTGCCATGCATGTGATCTAAAGCAATGTTCAGTAAACCAGATTTAGAGTAATGTCCTAGCATGGTACACAGTTTTAAAGGCATTATCTCAATTGATGCACAACTGCAATCGAGAATGCAACATCGACTTAACAAATAGATTCCAAGTTGCCATGCATCTGTTCAGTAATAGATCACAGATGATGTCAAAATGTGGTAAGAACAAAAAAGTGGCACACAAGGCACAGCTAAGTGTGTCACTGATGTTCTTACCACATTTTGACGTCCTTTGTGATCTTTTACTGAACAGACGCATGGCAACTTGGAATCTATTTGTTTTATATATATAATAAAGAATTAAAAAAAAGTTTTAATGATGATGTCATCTATACGTCTGTCCTCCAATAGACCATAAGTGAGAACCAATCAGATTGTGTGCACAACTGATCTTATTATATAACATGTTATATATTATACCTTTCTGTTCTTCTGTATTTTTTTTTTGCTTGAGCCTAAGAGTAACAGATGATCATGTGTTCTGATTCTCAAGGTGAGAGCAGTATTGAGTACTGGACTATTATTTCACGAGAGTGCTTGAGGTCTGAACAACCTAAATGGAATTCATCTTTATCCTTTACCCTGATGATAAATTCAGTTCAGGTTGCAAAAACATCATCCAGTGTCAAAGCAATAGCTGTTCTCTGATCTACTCTCACCTGGACAATGAGACCACATAATCAAATGTTTTCAGTCTTGTTGTCTCTTTAATGCATTTTGCTTCTTTGAATCAAAAGAGTCAGCATCTGTATCAACTCTTCAACCCTTAACACTTTAAACCCTAACATCAGTATGCATATTCTCCATACTGTTCTCTAGACATTCCCTAACACACTGACAAGGAGAATTTGATTAACAATCAAGAGCTTCTTTAGTTGGTGATCATACATTTCCTAACATGCTGACTTCACTTCACTTCACACTTTTATTTTTATTTTCATACATATTTACAAGAAATTCCTTTGACCTGCAGATAGCAAATGCCAGCTGAGGTGGGCCAATTTTTTTTTTCTTAACTTACTTTATTTAAGCACACTGGAAATAAAACAGAAATGAAGAAATGTAAATAAAAAGACAAAAAGATACACAAGAAAAGGAAAAAAAACAAAATGACAGATGTTCACTTGTAGAGGAAAGAAAGTCCTAGAGTTTCTCAGTGTACGAAACATATTGTAGCACTGGTTCAAATTGGTTCAATTTTGCTGTGTTTGAATTTTAGCATTATCTCATTGGGCTTCAAGTAAGAATCTTCAGTTTCTAGGATATTGAGAAGAGCTCTTTTTGTTTCTTTTTTGAAGGACTTCTTTGACAAATTTTTTATATTTATTAGGTATCTCATTACAGACTTTCAAGGCGTTTCTTTGCATTTTAAGCCTAGAGTACTTAACGCTAAAGAGTTGTGACCTTGATGAGAAAGTAGTATGCGTATGGATGTTTGAAGTTCTTATAGAAGGAGAATTTGTTTAACAATCAAGAGCTTCTTTCATTGCGGGGGGTCATTTCCTTTGTTCTCATAACCTTAATGTTTGATTCAGGGGTGATATTGTAGGGAGATTTTGGTTACTAATTTCTCTAAGGGGCTAAACAGTTAAGAGTGACTAGCATCTAATTCCTTCTTACAGCATCCCCCCTGAATCAAACATTTTAAGGTCATGAAAATAAAGGAAATGATCACAAGATAAAAGAACCCTTGGTTGTTAAACAAATTCTCCTTATCAGCACTATGGCAAATGTATACTCTAGCAAATGGAATGGAGAATATGCTCACTGGTGTTAGGGTGTTAAGGACTGACCGCTTTTCCGTCAAATCACATGATAAGTTTTTCCGAATTCAATTACACTTTCATAATCATTCATTCATGATAGTCTACAGACATAAAATAATCTGTCAGGTTTAATGTCCCTGTCCTTTAATTTGCTCAAAGCAGTTTAATATTCAAAACAGTATCAAAATATCATGGAAAAGAGAGAAGTTCAGATATATAAGAAACAAATTACCATCCATGGAAGATTTCTGGGTTTGAAATGCTGGTCTCTCAGGATTTGTTAAATATGAAGTGACTTTTGGAAACAGTAGAGACAATCCAGTCTGCCGTAAGTAATCCTAAAAAGTAAAGTGTCCATGAGTCAAGATCCCAAAAAGTGTGACAGAATAGGAAAGGAATGCAAAAGCTATCTGATAATAGAAGACATTTGTATCTCTTTCCAAAACCAATCAACATTTAAGACTCTACTCTATTTACTTTTAAACAATGGTTTGAACAATAAATTTTATCATTTATTGTATAATCCCCTTAAAAACTGCACATTAAGTGATTCTTAACCCTTTAACTTCCAGTAGTGATTAACATGTAAGTTCTCCTTATAATATTCAAACATTATCCACCAAACAGGTATTGAGAATACTCAAACTCATCAAGTATAAGTTGTTATCTTGATCTAACACCAAATTCCTGTAACTTATTTACAAGGAAATGTGTAACAGCTGGAGGGGAGAATTAACAATTAGATCTTGAAAGTTAAAGGGTTAAAGTTCACATAACATTTTTTCTAACTTTCCTCAGTTTTTTTTCTAAGATAAGGATATTTGAAGCTTACAATAAACAAGATAATAAAGTCATAACTGCTCATGCATAACTACGTAGAGCACTATTCCCCTGAATAACCACTTGAGTCTTAATTGGTGAAACACAAGATAGAGCTAGCAACTACAAAAAAAGTCATGCACAATATTTCCTCAAATAAGCACTCACACTCTACTGAATGCCCTCCCCTGAATGAGCACTCCACCCCCAAGGCCATGGTTTCAAACATGCACCCCCCTTAAATAAATTGCTCCCCTCCCCCCAGGGTTAGGGTTTTATTGTGGTTAGTAGGGATACCAGAAAAACCTGTTTCTAATTTGTCACTTCATTCACAATTTTTCAAGCTTCATGCAGCTACATAGGAATCAGTACAGAAGAATAGTTCCTTTTCCATTCCAGTAAATTCTATTCCCATGAGCTTGCAGAGTAGCTGCATGAGTATTATCTGCTCTTTAACCCTTTAACTCCCATGAGTGACCAAGACAGAATTTCTCCTTACAATATCAATACAACATCGAGCAGACAAGTGATGAGAATAAAGAAAAATATCAATTAGGGGATTATAAGTTGATCCAATACCAATTTCTCCACACAAATATCACAATAACTGTATGGCAGACAGTAAGGAGAATTACTAATGAGATGTTGGAAGTTAAAGAGCTAATTTTTCCTATTACTGCACTAACTTGATAAGCACCCCCTTGTTTAAGCACCCTCCTTCAAATAAGCACCCCTCTTTTAGGCAAAATTATAAATGAGCACCAAGGTGCTTATTCAAGGAAATAGGGTATTTATGCTTAATGTGTATGCTAGATGTTCAAGCAAGTACATATCTGAAGTAATGATTAAAGGCATGTGTGCTACACTGCACATGAGTGATTAAAGAAAACATTGATATTAATAATTATTGTTCCTTAACAAATTATAATTTATCACAGATGATATCTAACTTACTTTCAAAGATGGTTTAGGATCTGGAAGAAAATGGATCATTTCTCGCATTTTCTCAAAGAGTACTTGTGCTGAAACAAAATATATAAAAAGGAAAACTTATGCCACAAATATGACTAAATGAATAAAAACTTTTCTTTTAAACAAATTATTTTTTTCTATAACAAATATCTGAAATCATGGGTTTTCACTTTGTATAATAGTTATTGAGGATTTGGATGACAATTAAAATTCTACAGATACCTTTGAGTAAAACTTTTAGCCAAGGTAACTTCTGAGTAAAACTTTTGGCCAAGGTAACTTTTGAGTAAAACTTTTAGCCAAGGTAACTTTTGTTAAAGCAGGATCAGTTAATGCTGATTATTTCAAGAAACTCTAAACAGCATTTTTATCCTTGCAGTATGCAGGAAGTTTGTCATCATGGATCAAGTTGACAGCCTAGCCTGCCACAAGTCTCCTACAACTCACTGTGGTAGAGCACGCAAAATACTAGTCCGAAGGTCATAGATTTGACTACTATTGTGAGCACTTAAGAGTTCCTTTTCTCCAAGGATGCCTGTGTCACTCACTGAATATGGTCTTCTTTCATCTTCTTTCTATTTCAAGATTTAACTCTTGTTTCCCCAAAACAGCTTTGAAAAATAACTTAGAGATGAAAATGTCCACATTTTCTAAAGAATTCAAACCGTTCTATTCGTTAAAATAGTTGATGAATACGTTGGGAATTAAACATACGTAGCCTGCAGATGTACCTTTTGGTTCAAATTTGTTTTGATATTCCACTTTGTGGCCTGCATCGATCTTTCCCATTGTTGTCTGAAATCGAAAAACAGATTTATCCCAAAATTGTTATCTGTTTATGAAAATCCTTGCCACTCGAGAATTCAATACATGATGGAAAATCGATTAATGCATCGATAATGATCAGCGCGAGAGGCTAAAACTACGTTTGTGTATTTTTGGTGACTTCGCCAACTAAGACAAACAAAAGAAAAGTGAAATAAACTAAACAAGATAAAAACGATGGAAATGTTCCTTACAGCGTACTCCTTCTTGCAAAGTGGCTCCAGTTGGGAACACAAAGTCAGAACTTCAATAGCAACATCGTCTGGAGAAAACTGAACCTTCCAGAGTGGCTCATGAAGGCGGACCTCAACTGCAGGATGCGAGGAAAACAGGTGAATTTGCTTGCCTGGTTAATATTTACAATCTGGCGAGGACTTCGTAATAGAAGGACAACACGCACAAACCTTTGAATGAAGGATCGTAGGCAAGAGGTGCACATAATGGCCCAGGAAGAAGGGCTCGGTCTAAATTCATTTTTCGAATTTCAAGCCTTTGCAATGTTGAATTATCTGCGCATGAAATCTGGAAAGAAACTTCCTGCAAAGGACGCCATGACAGCTGTTCAGATCGATACTTCATATAGGATTCATTAATCATCGCACGTGCGGTGGTATTCTTGCGATGCGCCGCTGACCAACATTAGTTAGGAGGGGGAGAAAAAGGGGGAAGGGTGGGGCAGGCAATGGGAAGAGCTGGAGGGGGAGGTAGGGGGGTCCTGCTTTATTGAAAGGTGATTTCATCGTTAAAGGTCTGAATGAAAAACGAAACAAATCCAACAAACGCACAGATGTTGGGCTAACTGGTGAACCAATGGGTTGAGCAGCTTAAAACATGGAGTTACCCGGCTGAGTTTAGAGGGGAACTAATAAATTGACAGGGTCTATAGAGGAAGACGGTTAGAGGAGTGGGTGGGGGGGGGGGGAAGAACAGGACTGTTGGTAATTAAACAGATAAGTAGATTAATCTCAATCATCTCTTATCTGTTCCAGGCAGTTGGACAGTTAAAATGGATACTGAAATAGTTCACAGAAAAACGAAGCAAAAAAGAGGAAAGTTTGGTCAGGTTGAAAAAAAGGGGATTTAAGTTGCATAATGTTCCTTCATTTATTTGATCTGCCGCTAGTGTTGCACTGTTAATTTGTATATTCCTTTTGGATAACCATACATCTGGATCAGGTCAAGTCATCTCATGAATTAAACTTAACCTTTAAATCAACAACAAAGATAGTTTTGAGCTGATTTACATAAGTTTCCCAAAATTTCGACTTGCAGTATGCAGTCAAGATGTTGCAGTCCACTAAACATACCACAACAACAATATTTCAATGTGCAATAAATTAATCAAAATTGAAGAAACTTTATTCCTATCACTCTCAGATAAATATATTACAAAATTCCTGCACTTAAATCTCATAAATAATATATATTTTCCTGTACAATTTATAGCTTGGATAATCTATCTCTAGACTAAGGAAACCTCTCTACTTGACTATATACCATTCCCTCTTCCACAAAAATCTCTATATACATTCAAAAAGATACTTTTTCAAACAAAGTATAGGAAATGGGCATAAAACCCAACTATGAAGCGTAAAAATGGTTCTTCTTTTTTTCAAGAGGATTGTGGCATATTCAAAACCAAAAATTCACTTATCAATTTCATTCTTGACCCCTTGGGACACTGAGATAAACTGATTTAAAACCATCTTGAGATTTTCATCAAATTTGAAAAAAAGTTGTTGAAAGAGTTCTAAAGAGGAGATAATGACAGCATTATGTGATACTTTGTGCAAACTGACGCAATGCTTAACATTTAAGCTCCCAAGAGTGACCAAGACAGTATTTCTCCTTATAATGACAACACAGTATCAAAGAGACAAGTGATGAGAATAAAGAAACATATCAATTACAGGAAAATCCATGGATCAAATACCAACTTCTTCTACTTCAAAGGATATACTGAGACACTGAGATAAACTGATTTAAAACCATCTTGAGATTTTCATCAAATTTGAAAAAAAGTTGTTGAAAGAGTTCTAAAGAGGAGATAATGACAGCATTATGTGATCACATCACATCTCCCTAAACAGCACAGTACATAAAATATATTTCCTATCATCAGTCTCAAAAAATTTAAGGATCAAGACATTTCTGACAAAGTTAAATGCAAGTCAAACTGGTTTGAAGGCATTTTAACCTGAAATCCGTTTTCAAATACGACAGAAATACTGTAATTAACATTTTAAAGAATCAAGGAGTTCCAGCCCCTTGAGTAATTATTCAATTGTTGTATCAATCGTCTCATACTTTATGAACCAGAGAAAGTTTGATAATTTCAATCTGCGAGTTTCATAATACATTTCGACTCAAAATTCACTTCGCATGGCAGAAGTATTGTGCTGAAATAAACAAGACAGAATGAAGCTGACGCCATTCGTTTTGAATAACACATGAACATGAAGAACATGAAACGGCACCAGTTTAAACTCATGAGACAAAGCCCACGTATTTATTTGAGGTAAATGAACTGGTTGGACCGAAAGCTAAATAAATAAACAATGAACTGACAGTGGTGAGGGATTTGGGGGCCATGTGATAAACAAGTTTTACCGAAGTTTGTCCTCTAGTCAGCCCTTCAAGCCCAAAGAGGCAATTAAAAAAATACTCACCAAAACACAAAAATCGGGGATGATTGAGGCAAGACTTTAACCGTTGTTAAGATACACGCCTACATACCATGTATAACAGACTTGGAGAGCAAAAAGGCCAAAGACAGTTGTGAGCCATGACTTGGGAAATCCACCTCAACCTCCCGAAACCGATTTCGCCGAAGGCTGTAGTAAGAGCAACTCAATCCTGAAGCTGGAACATTTTTTAAAGCCTTGTGTCCTAGGTGACTACAAAGAGAAAGAAAAGACAATGTTATTTGAAGCGATTTGAAGCTTGGGGGCCACCTCCAACTTTACACAATTTTATTTCAAAGTTGCAGTAAAATAAGATCAAATTCTGAACTACCTTCTATTATCGTAACGAATATCTCACGATCATCCCCACATACAACTTGGTGATTCATAGAAGTAAGACATTAACATCTTAAGACTAACCTTGAAGATTTGTAGTCTCATATGCATATCTCAATTATCAGCAAATCAAATCTCAAACTTCAAGTCTTCGGCCTTTTTTTCCGTTTTGTTCGCACTTTGATTATTAAAATAACCTCGAGTCATCCGCAGAGTTTGAAATGGTGGTAAACTTGACATACTATTTCATCCCTCTCCGAAAAACATTTCAAAACAGTTGTCGATCGCCCAGGAAAAGACCGCTGAAGATATCCAAAAAAGTAGGCGCAAACGCGCATGCGTAATGTAATGGACGCGTTTTGCTCCTTACGTCACATATTTGAGGCGAACTCTTAATGTTTTACGGTCCACTTCCTCACTTGTGGTAAGTAATGCTGGTGAAGGACTAGCAAAAACTGTGACTGATTTCTTCAGATACCACGCACTCGAGGTATGTTCTAACGTGTGTTGCCTCTATTATAACGCATAATTTAGGTTATGTTGATTTTCTTGGATTTTCAGGAAAATAGGCCCGAATGTTCGTCAGATATTTACGCACAAAGATATAAAGTAAATATTCCGAAAGTTGAAATATTTCCATCGAAATCTTTCTAGCGTGTGTCATTACCTTAACTCGAAAAAGCCTCATACACTTTATTAGCGACACTGGGATATCTATATTTTGTGGTTTCTTTAAAAGTAGCGCCCGAAAGACGATTTTCCGGAAGGCACCCTATTTTCTTGAGAGCTACTATCAAAAATGCAAATCGTAACCAATTGTAATAGTTTCACAAAAAATTCCGATTTCCTCGATTTAAAATAAAGCCGAAGCGTACCTTTCACAATGAAATACTTATATCGACTCGTCATTCATAACTTTAAGTAACGTAACCGCTCATAAGCCAAACTGACGTTCCAACTATTGTCGTAATTTCCACCTTTATTTAGCGGTCACCTCCGTTTAGTGGTCGTGGTCAACCTTGCCTCTGTCTCAAAATCAGTACTTGTGTTGTCGTCCACCTGTATTGAACGGTCACTTATAGCGGATCCGCTCGAATGAAACTAAGAATAATCTTTCAAGTAAAGTTTTATCCATGTTTTTCTTCCAAAATTTATACTATTAGTATTTTTTAGCAAGTTTTTATACATAAGTGGTCAGGTATGGCCTTCGTTATCGTTTATTATATAACTCATTTCCAATGAAACTTGTAATAAACAATCAACCTGTGTTAAGAGTGTGTATGTGAAATGAAGATCAGCGTAAGCTGCAGGTTTTGTTTCCTTTGGTGATAGGCTGTTGCCATCGTCCTCAAAATAAATACCAATTCAGAAATGTTTTGAACTTCAAATGTGCGCCGCCTCGCAGAAAAAGTCACTAGCAGGTCTGGACAGCACACAGACGGAGGGTGTCAATGCAGTCGCCTACCTGGAGGCGATCACTGATTTTCTGAGGAAAAATGATGAGAATGATGACGATGTATCTATATCTGTAGCTTGTTAACAATATTTTGTGAGAGGAGCTTGTCTAGGGCTCACTATGGAAGAGAGAATTTGAGGATGTTAAGGTTGAGAGAAAGTTTGGAGAAGTCTCACTTTCTCTGACTATGAAGCCATCTTTATATTCTAACGCCCGCCTCATTCAAAACTTGCATATGCTCAAAAGCTTCGACTGTTTTCTTTGGTGTGCCTGTACAATCAGTGCTAGGAATTGCTGAAATTCAGGTCAGTTTAAAGATAGGAGTCATTGCTCTTTGTAAGTGTCCTTCTCTATGTGGTCCTACAGATGGCCTTCTTGAAACTTGCCCTTTGACTTAAAATCATTGACGCACACGAGCGTTTATAACCAATGTATTCCTGTTAATACAGGCCTTCAGGATGATAAGGCGAGATAAATTGTCTCACGTCTGCGAGCTGGTAAATGCTATCTATCCACCAACTTTAAGCTGCACATCTCTCAAGTGAGACACCCTACGCAGATCATTGCGGTGGGTTAGGGCCACGGATTAGCCGGGAGCGCGAACTACTGTGGATTCTTGAATAACTTTTTGACCCTCATAAACTGTGAAAGTTTGAAAGAGATCGGTGAGATGGCATGTGTCACGCCTGCCCGGTCCTCTCGAGACAGACTTTCAAGGCCCACAATACTCAAAATGAATATCAAATTCTCGAACTCAATTTACTTTTTCAAAGTTTTTTCGTTCGAAGGCGCGAAATGATCATGAATAATCTCCAGTAGAATTCCAACTTCAAATGTGTATTTCCACCACAACGACTTACTTCCTCAATAAAGCAACCGTATAATGTGTGCCGTCTCGTCACTCGTCTCGTCTCGTCTCTCGATACGCGTGCTAGAATTGAATGTAAGAAGGATACTATCCTTGTGCGTTACCTTTTTAGTTAGGACGTTGTTCGGAATACACGTACAACGTACAAGATAGGAGGGAATTTTGTTTTTAAAATAGTTGTCCAATTAATTTTTCCTTGCTTCTGATAACTTTTTATAAATTTCTCAACTTCAACCATAAAATCATTGAATTTAAACTGT